ATACATAAATGTATCCATACATAATATGAATCCATTTGAAATTAAGTCTCAATTTCGTGGCTGAATTCGTTTGGCATTCGTAGATTAAATTTGCCCACCAGGGGCGACCCATATCAAATTTGTAGATCCTACAATTTGTTGACGACAGCTGAAATTCAACTTTAAGCTGAATATCTGGATAGAAATATGTGCGCCGAATTCCTCATTCATTTGGTATTTTGAGAAAGAGATTTGTTTATTTTTTGTTACGGTGCCTGGCTCTCTGTCTGGCAGCAAGCTTCATATGATCAATATGTTATAGCGAATATCGAATTCCATCAAGCAATATTTGATATTCATGATAAGTAAAGCTATCTAGTGCATATTGTACTCCTAAGATTTCATGCAGATTGCAATGATGCTAATTTGAATATATGAAATATGAAATATGAAATATGAAAGTATCCTCCCACATAAAAGAAACATAACAAAAATTAACGTTTCTATTTTTTTTTGAGAAATATTTTTTGCATCGCGCGTGGTTTTATGTTAGGTACGTCGTAGCTGGTTTTCTTAATCGGATTTTCTCAGTGCTGCTATCTGTCTGTGTCCTATATGAGTGCCCTTTGGTGTGCGCGTGTCAATTGAGTGGCCGCCCGTGCGCGTGTAGTGGAGCTTATGCATAGATTATTATTTAAGCGTGCACATACGCACTAACACACACACACCCGCACTCCCAGACTTGCTGGAGAGGCAAAAAGCTCGCGCCCTGATCCAATGAATCTACCGTTATTACCGTTTACCTGCTGCTGTCGCTGTAGCTGCTTGCATTTGCTGCTGCTGCTGCTGCTACTCCAATTCCTGCAGTGAGCTTCGCTGCCTGCTGCTTCGGCTGGCACCGCTCTCTGCCACTCTCTCACCCACTGCTTCTCACATTTCGTAGCACTGATTCTCCCTGCCCGCTGCCTTCTGTTATTCTGCTGCTCTTCTCTGCTCCTGCGACCTCTCCCCTCTCTCTCTCTCTCTCTCTCTCTCTCTCTCTCTTTGGCAGCAATTGGCTCTGCACTTCTCCCACTACATCTCTGTAGCCAGTTCTTGCTCCCGCCTGTGCTGTTATCTTCAGCGTGCTGCTGGTGCTCTACCAGATCCACTCTGCCTGCATTTTGCTGCTGCTGTTCGGCCGCTGCTTAAATGCTCCTGCTGCTGCTGCGGTCAGTTTCGCTGCCCTGAAAGCTAGGCTATGGAAATGTATGCAGTGGGAACAGAGATGGCGATATTCTATTATTTTGCAACTTGAAATATGATCCAAATATTGAAGAAATAAGAGGACAGGTAGCAGCAGCAGCAGCAGCAGCAGCAGCAATAATAACAGAAACAGAGCAAGCCAGAGGTAGAGGTAGAGGTAGAGGTAGAGAGACGCAGAGATAATTCTATTCATTAACTTTTAACCTTGACCGTCATCGGCAGTCTGTCTGTCGGTCTCTCCTTCATCGGCTTTTGAGTTGAGTTTTGAGTGTGGGAAAGGCTTTTAGAAGCGAAATTGAATTGAATTACCTATCCTTTCTAGCAAACACTCGCACACATGCATACCCGGCGTATGCCTGTCAACTATTTATAGAACTTTGAACTTTCATTTCACAATCTGTGATGTGCCCTCAGGTAGGAGCGAGTTTCTGTGTTCTCTAACACAGAGAGAAACTTGAGAGGGCAAAGGTTGCACAAAGGTTGCGGAGGGGACCGGAGACGGAGACAGAGACGGGGATGGAATAGTTAAACTAATTTTCCATTTTCCGGTGCATAACCGCAGGCAAATGTTGCTATGCTCTCAATCTGCCTATGTTCCGCTTCCTCTCTCTCTCTCTCTCATTCCTTTTCCCCTGTGTTCCCTCAACTTTCGTTCTGCCAACCAGTCTGTCGGCATCCTTGTGTCACATGAAATTGAATTATTTTGCTGATTCTGCTTCGGCTTCTGCTGCTGTTGCGGCTCTTGCCACCATTTTTGCCCCATGGCTAAATCTAATTTGTTTGGCTTTTTGCGCAGTTAACTGACGGCCAGGCCCCACTGTACACATGTAGGTAGGTAGGTAGGTATGTAGGTGTAGGTGGACAGCGAGTGGGAGTGGGAGTGGCAGAGAGAGTGCATTGCAAGTCCATGAGTCCTGGTCATGGTCATGGTCATTAGCTTTGACACGAGCCGGAATAGGAAAAGCGTGTAATACCTGGTACTATGTTTGTACCTACCGCTCCACCCCCTCACCTCACCTCCTCTCCTCTCCTCTCCTATTCCTATCCAGTGTGATGTGGAGCATACAGAATATGGGGTGGTTTTTGGGGTCGGGTTCGGCTTCGGGTTCGCCTGTGCCTTGGGCCAACGCTTCCATCGCTTCTTCCTCTCCATCTGTCATGGTCATGGCCATGGCTGACCGATAACGAAACAGAAACAGAAACACATGAACTGCACATGCACCTGCACATGCTCTCCGAAAATCCAGAGAATTTTGCACTTGAGCCATGACATCCGTTACTTGTATTTGCACAAACAAAACTGAGACGACAATGTTTCCTTTTCGAATGTTCCTTGTTACTTGTACAACATTCATTTAAATCAAAGTGAAGAAAGTGATGCTTTACAACAATTCTGTAGTATTTGTTTAAATGAAAAATCGAATGGATTTGTTTCAGCTATGAACAAATAGACAAATCCTCTTCAAATATTATTTACTAACTTTATTTATACTTTACCAAACTAACTAAATGTTAAATAATTTTAGATATACATATTAATTACCCTTAGCACCTTTAATAAATATTTATGAGTACTAATTCTGATTGTGATTGTAATTCTGATTTGAAAATAGAGTCCATTAGAATAAGAGCCAAGCGGTGGCAAATTGTTGCACATTTGCATTATCCATCCATGCATAAAACACTAGAAAGAAGCATGCGAGTTCCACTCCTAAATCTCGCTTTCCCTCTCTATATCTTGCCCCATCTGCGTGCTTCTTGCAAAACTTAAACTTTTAATCGAGGGTGGGATGTGTGAAAGTTGACTTATCGCACGAAAGCAGAAGTGCAAGTGCAAGCAGAAGTTTGTGGCGGTGCCTGTCGCGAAACTAAAAGTTTATTTTATTTTTAGTTTTTCTCTTTTATACCCGGTACTCGAAGAGTAAATAGGGTATATTGTATTTCTGGGGAATAACGGTTGTATGTAACGCACAGAAGGAAACGTTTCCGACCCCATAAAGTATATATATTCTTGATCAGCATCAATAGCCGAGTCGATAGAGCCATGTCTGTCCGTCCGTCCGTCTGTCCGTCTTGTTTGTCGGCTAGTTCTCAGAGACTATAAGAGCTAGAGCCACCAAATTTTGCATCCAGACTTCTGTATGCTCACACTATTAAAAGTGTATTTCAAAAATAAGCCACGCCCCCCTCCGCCCCCGCAAAAGGGCGAAAACCTCCCAAACCTACAGTTTTGAAGATAAAAGAAAACTAAAAACGCCATTCCGTAGGGAATGACCATATCTATCGGATCACCATTGGGATCCGATTAGATCATTATTATAGCCACAATGAAGAATTTAATTTCCAGTGGCTTAACCCACCCCGTTTCGCAGCTTCGCGCAGACACGTCTCTGCCTCTGCCTCTGCCGCGTCTCTGCCCTGACTCTGCAGTGTGTGGCTCTAGGGGGGAGGGTGGTGAGCTAAAGGAGCGTGTTGGCGTGAGAAGTGTTGTAGATGTAGATGACATATGAAGAAAAAATGTAAAATTTGACAAATAACCGCTAAGCTGCAGAAGTAGTACTGAGTGCCGGGTATAAATGTTGTGACGCGTAAGAAGCGCCTCACACGTCTCTTCTCGTTTTTTTTTTTGCGATCGAGACACCTGTTTTTGTTTGTTCCTGTTCTGGGCGGCAAACACAACTGGCTCTGCAGCTGGGGATAAACATTTGAAGCGTTGCACTTGCCCCACCGTTCGATCAGTTGCACCAGTCAGTGCCTGTCGAGGTGTCCAATAACCAATATATAAAGAACCAATAAATAAATACAAAATATGAAGCATATTACGATTTTACTTGAAGTGCAAATTGCGATTGCAATCAGTTACAGTAAGAAGTTCATGGAGAAGAGTTCAAAAAAAAAACAAAAGTGAATTTTTGTTAAATTCATAAATTAATAAGGGGGCGTGGCATGACGGTGCTAGCCTCAAAGTGTGTAAATGAAAACGGAATTTGAAAAATTTGGCAATCGGCTTGAATTGAATTGAAGAAGAGAGCGTGACCAGCATGCATGATCGATCGGAGGGTATTGCGCATGCGTCCATCGTATGACGACAGCACGCCATCATCATTATCACTCACCCTCGCCATCTCCATACCGAAGGCACTTGGTGATGGCACGTGCCACAGCAGAGCTGTCCCTGCCTCTGCCCTGCCCTGCCCTGCCCAGTGACAGTGTCTCAGACATTGACGGGGGAACTCTATTTGGTTGACTGCCAAATTGGAACTTCTGCCGCGGATCGTTGATCGTTGATCGCTGATTCAATTGATAAATATTTGGCATGAAATGCCAGGTGCCTTGTGCGTTTCTTTGCTCAAAATTAGAGAATTAAACATCAAAATCACAGACGAAACTACGCGAGACTTTTTGCCTTCTGTTAGTGATCTTTGAGTCTCCGTTTTAACACAAGAAAAGTTCTGCCAAGGCAAAGATTTATGCAGGAAAAATCTGTAAAGATTATCCGAAATTGATTTCGTAGATGTAGATGATGTAGATGGTTAGGCAGTTACATAGATATTAAATGTATTGGTATAAATGTATTTATTTTTAGTGGCTGGAAATGTGCTGAATGCTGTGCTGCACATATTTGGCCAGAGCGGCAGCTATAGACTGGCCGATTCCAAGCGGAGGTGATTGAGAATCACAGACACAGACACACAAACACTCTCTATCAATCTGTCTCTGTTTAATCATTAAACTTATTCTCGATATTCTCTCTGTCTCTTTTTGGATTGTTTCAGTGCCAATCAGCCGCCGAATCTTACAGTATTATCAGGAACAGGCACGTTCACGGCCATCTCCTCCAGCCCCACGACCATTGCACGCCACTCAAAGTCCGGCAGCGCCCTAAGTCAGGCCCTGTATGTTAGCCATGCCGCCTCAGGCTCTGGTGGTGGCAACGGTGGTGCAGTTGCCAGCGGCGGCAGCGAAAACAGTGACCTGATGATCCGGCTGCGTGAGTCCATCAAGCAGAAGGAGGAATTTCTCAAGTCGCCGGTGCCCAACACCATTAGCTCTAGCTCCTCCTCCTCCACCACCACACCTGGGACCAATGGGAATCAGGCGCAATCGTCGCCGGCTCAACAGCAGCAGCAGCAGCAGCAGCAAACGCCACAACAGCAGCAGCAGCAGCACCATCAGCATTTCTTTCCCTCGCACACTCCGCCAGGAGTGACAGCAGGTGCTCCAATTGTCCCACCGCCTCGCGGTCGCCATCAGGTGCTCATGAAGCAGCAGCAACAGCAACAGCAGGGCAGCTTCGACATGTACTATGCAGGCGGCAAACTAGTGCAACGTTCCTCGACGGTGCCCATACAAGCATCGTCCAGCTCATCCACACATTATCATCACATTACCCAGCTACAGAATCATCCACAGTATCAGCAGCAACAGCAGCACCACCCACAACAGCAACAGCAGCAGCAGCAGCAGCAGCAGCAGCAGCAGAGACAGGTGCAGATGATCAATAATAATGCCAAGTATTCAAAGGATTTGGATTACTTTGAGACACTCCAAGAGACCGGAGTGACCAATAAAGTGTGAGTAAAAAAGTAAAGAAAGAATAAAAGAGGAAACATTTGATGAGAGAATATCATCAATAGTCTTGCAGCAGCGCCCATCGGTTGAGTCCACAGAGCAAGCTTCTCGTTTGGTGTGAAAATATCCACTCTTTCAGTGTGGATTTATATTCCTTAAATTTGATGTACATTTTTCATAGAAAACACTAATTAAATGTTTTCTCTCTGCCACAGCTTTGAACGCAAACTAGTGTCCCATATGTCCATGGGTTTTGATCCTTTTAAGCCGCTGTCGATCAATACCAGCGCCTTGGAGGCGGCATCGGCATCCACAAGTGCAGCAGCAGCAGCCGCGGCCGCTTCGACTGTGAAAAAGCAGAGTGTCCTATACGAGTCATTGCAGCAGCATCCGCTGGCCAAGTACCAGCATCAGCAGCAACAAAGCACCAATACTGTGGATGGACAGACGAGCAGTCGCATGGAGCTGCATAAGGCAACGCTGGCTAATGCCACCATTGATGCCGCCACACCGTTGGTGGTTAACAGTGAGTTCTGCCCCAAATCTTGGGAATTGCTAATTGAGTTTGGTATTTCTCTCTACCTTTCCCCGTGGCAGAGTTTAGCGCAATGTCGGAGCAACAGCAAGCAGGAGCCGCCTTGGCAGATATTTCCGAGAGCAGCAGCGGTAAGTCTTTAGCTGCACTGGGAATACCACAAAATATACCAGAAACTAATCCTGTCTCTCTGTGTCTCTGAAGCAGCAGCTGCTACTGCTGTTGGCAGCTCAAGTGCTGGTGTGATAAGGCGCTATAAGCCGTTGTCCTCGAGCTCCTTCGACGAGGGCAAGCCAATGCGTCGGATCTCCTATTTGAGGGCCACCAATAACGAGACCGAATTCAATCCTGATGCAGCAGCCACAGGAGATGCAGCAACAGCATCAGCAGGAGCAGGAACAGGAACAGGAACAGGAGCAGTAGCAAATGTAGCCCCAGTTTCCACACCAATTCCAGTTGCAATACCCCTTGTGGAGCCACAAAAGACCAAATCATTGGTTGAGGAACATCCCGATCCCACCTACGATGTCATTGGCGGCAACACTGGCGGCGGTCACGAGTTCATTGAGACACCAAATGGCCTAGAGGATGTGCGTCTATCGGCTCATGGCAGCAGTCGCAGGGCCTCCATGAGCAGCGATATGCGTAGCAGGTGAGTGTGTCCCTCCCCCATGTGTGTGTCCCTCTGTTCTTCAATTTTATTTTCCATTTAAGCATCCACATTGATGCCGAGCTGAATGGCAAGTATGTGCCCAATGAACTGGAGGCATTTGAAACGGATATTGAAATTAAATCCTCCTGCATCAATGGCAAGGTAAGTGGCTAGCACAGATGCCAGCTTATGCCCATTGCCATAAATCTTTGTTTCACTTTCTTCCCTTCAGCGCATGTCCGAGTATCGTTCGTGGCGTCAGGTGAAGCTGGAGATCAAGGGCGATCTGCTGCGCATCTACTCGGGTCGTCATGCCAAGTCGGAGCACAATGTAAGTGCCAAGAATCCACAAATAAAATCAGTTTTAATATATATATGTTCTTGCCCCTGCAGGTGATAGAACTTGATATTAGAAACTTTAAGTTCTTCGACGAGTCGCTGGATAAGAAAAAGTACTTGATACGCATGCAATCGAAGCCATCGCCGAGCGGTGCCCATTTGGCGAGCCTTGGGAATGAGCTCAATCTGGATGATGTGCATGACAAGTTGACCTCATCGGGCAGCAGCAGCGCCAATGAACCAATGGCAGCATCCTGCAGCAGCAGCAGCGGCACTGCCACTAGCACCGGCGGTGGTCCCTACACGGAGATACTCTTCAAGACAAAGAACAGCAACGAGATGAAGCGACTGTTTGGGTTGCTACAGTGGAAGGATAGCCTCAACTATGACGATAATGTAAGCTCAAAGCTGCTAGTTTCATGTGTGTTTCCTCTTAACTCTCACCCATATCTCCAGGATCAACCGCAGCAGGGCAAACAATTGGCAGAGCCACAAAAGACGGTGGCCACAGCCAGCCACTATCTGGATGATGTGACTGGTGGCGCTGGCGTGGATAACTCGCCGTTGAGCTCACATTCGGGTGGCGGTGGCATGGCGGAGGGGCATCATCATGTGGCTGCGTTGCCTGCTGCGGCGGCAATTGTGGCCGCCACCAGTGACTCCATATCGCCGGTGATGAAGGCCCGCAAATCGTCCTCCCACAAGCATTTGCCCGATAAGGATTTGGGTTCTCCAAAGTCAAAGAACTGGAAGGATTTACTCTTCCGTCGAGGCGGTGGCAGTGGCGGTGTCTCCCATCATCACACAGATCTGGCATCGCCGTCGTCGTGTGCCGTCAAGACGTGCGGCTCTATTGGGGTGCCGCTGCGCAGTTGTCCGATGTCCAAGCTGAATCCATATGTCCCCCATCTCGTGGAGGTGTGCACCAACATTGTGGAGACCAAGGGGCTGAGTGTGGTGGGTATCTATCGGATACCCGGCAATAAGGCGGCCATTTCAGAACTCTCGGAGCTGGTGAACACCAAGGACTTTCAGTTCGAGAGCTGTGCCATCGATGTGCGTTGGGAGGACGTTAATGTGGTGAGCAGTCTGCTTAAGCTCTTCATACGCAGCCTGCCCGACGCCCTCATGCCGGCCAGCTACTACATCAACTTCATTGAGGCCGACAAGAAGCTCGGCCTGGAGCGGATCGTACTGCTGCGGGAGATTGTCGAATCGCTGCCACGCCATCCATACGAGACGATGAAGCATCTGATTCGCCATCTGTGTCGCGTCAGTGACAATTGTGAGGTAAACCGCATGGAGCCAAAGAATCTGGCCATCATATTTGGTCCCTCGATCATACGCACGCCCAACGACACACTCGAGACGGCCGTTAAGGATATGAAGCATCAGTGCCGCATCGTTGAGCTGCTCGTTACACAGGTGAGGGAAATACATATATGCGATGTCGAGACAATTTAGATTCAGGCAGCTCCTAATTTCAATTGGCAACTAAATGCCGAAAGGATGTTGTTGTTCGAACGAGTTATAAGATTTCTACTGAATCGGGCATGCCAGAGATTCTTTCTGTTGTTCATTGTCTTGGCTAAGAACATAAACTTCATCGCATGAAAATGTAATTCATACGAAGGTTGTTCTGCCTATAAATGCAGCATTTGACAGCATTGGCAGCTCTGGTGGAATGGCTTTCAGATTATTTGATGGTACCCGGTACTCAAAGAGTAAATAGGAAATATTGTATTTGTGGGGAGAAATGTAACACGCAGAAGGAAGCGTTTCCGACCCCACAAAGTTTATATTTTCTTGATCAACATCAATATCTCTCTGTCCGTCTTGTTTGTATCCAAAAATGTAACCAAAGATCAGCTAGATATTAGCGGTATAAAATGAACAAAGTATTCTTCGATTGGGCAAACATTTTGTCGTAAATATATGAATGCCAAATTGGACGACTGTTAATTTCAAACAAAATACAACTAAAAAATGTAACTAAAGGATTGAAGCGAGTTTGTTGAACGCATCCTCCAGTTCCTGAATATAATCTGCTTAATCTTCTGAGGTGCATTCCTCCTCCTAATCCTCGAACTCCTCCTCGTTCTCCTGACCGTGCTCCTCGTTCTGCAGTTTTTCTGCGTTTTTTTAGATCATTGGCATAAAATATTAGAACGCACAGCATTACCAACGAGCCACACTTGACGACGATAGCCTTTGGATATGGTCCCAGGGCTCTTTTAACATTCCCATTGATTCCAAACAAGTTGGTTCTGCCGGGGGGCAATCGAGCCAAAGCCAGAAGAATGTTGAGATGCAGAAGCTGCTTATGACCAGGACCACAGACCAGGTGGCTGCTACGATCCTGCTGGGGCCAATCATTTCTGCAGCTCCTCATTTGCAGCTCTCTTTATTATATCCGGTACTCGAAGAGCGGATGTACAGGAAACGTTTCCGACCCCATAAAGGATATGTATTCTTGATCAGCATCAATAGCCGAGTCGATTGAGCCATGTCTGTCTGTCCGTTCGTCCGTCTGTCCGTCCGTCTTGTTGAGCGCCTGGATCTCAGAGACTGTAAGAGATAGGGCAACCAAGTTTTGCATCCAGATATCTGTATGCTCGCATTGTAACAAGTGTATTTCTTAAATTAGCACCGTCCCCTTCCGCCCAAACAAAGGGTGAAAATCTGATTGCGATTTACGATGCATACAGCAGATGAGTGTCAATAAATTTAGTTTTTGATTTATATTCGGTATGTTAAGGGCATAAACACACAGAAAAAGGAAAACTCTTTTATGGCATTTTCAACACCATTTTTACCACAATTAATAACCGAATTGTAATATAATTTAAAATGTTTTTCTTCTCGCGCAGTATGAATACTACTTTGAGGGCGGCAATCTGCCGGATTTGGCTGATGTTAGTGGTGGTACGGCCATGGCCAGTGCTGCCCAGCCGCAGCATCAGACGCAGGAGGATCAGACGAGCATGCTGCTGCATAATCTGTCGAAAATTGAGAGGATCACAGAGCGTGAGACGCGCACCTCACGGTTCATTCCACAGCTGCGTCGGCGCACCCATGGCAAGCGGAGTGCCGTCAATTCGGATACATATTCGGGGGAGAGTGTTCTGGTAAGCAGCGGTAGTCCAAGCAGCTCCACTACTAGCCACTCCACCATCTCCACTTGCACCAACACCACAACCACCACCACCACCACCACCACCACCACCAACACCAATCACAAAACCATACAACAAAGACGACTGCAGCGCAAGGCTGTGCAGAGTATTTGTGACTTTGCTTTAATCCTGCCCGCTCCTCCTCCTCCTTCCGTTCACTTTCAGTCGCTGGACTACACCAAGGTATCGGCCAGCAGCACCAGCAGCAGCTCCACGCTGCACAGCAGCAGCAAGACCACCACCAACACAGTCTCCTCCTCCTCCACCACCAGTCAGAGCCAGAGTCAGAGTCACAGCCACAGCACAAAGTTTAGCTCTGGCGGCGCCTCAAGCTCGAGCTCCTCGACAACCGCCGCCACCATAAAGGCAGCAGCGGCGTCCAAGGCATCATCCGCAGCCTCCTTGATAGGCACCAAGAAGCGCAGCACAATGGGCGGCGGTGTGGGGTTCCTCGGCGGTGTCTCTCGCTCGCAGACGCGCAAAGCGAGTCTGGACGAGAAGGACTCTGGAACGAGCGTGGACTCTGCCAGCAGTCTGGCCTTGAGCCTCGGCCTGGGTCTGGGCCTAGGCCTGGGACATGGCAAAGATCAGCAGCAGCATCAGCAGCAGCAGCAGCGGAGCAGCGTGGACATATCCATACTCCTCACCGACGACGACTCGAGCAGCAGGCTGAGCGACACAGGTAGGTCTCTTTTGTGCTCCAGCACTTGCTACAGGAACTTCTTTCCAAATCTCTGCATTTGATGTTCGCATTTAGGTTCCATGTCCCTCACCACCATCACGGATACGCTGGACAGCAAGCTGCGGAATCTACGGAGCGGCTCAGAGTCGAATGACGAGAATGGATCACCGGAATTCCCCAAGAATCGCCGGCACACACTCGGCCAGCCGCTGCATCTGCACTCTGAGAACATTCCCTATGCGGATGAGTCGCCCGAGCGACTCTTCCATCAGTTCTGTCCCCTGGATGCACCCCATTCGCTGCACCTGAGCCGCTCCTGCACGGCCACCAATACGCTGGGCGCCGAGGAGAAGCCCACGACCATGAAGCAAGCCATGGCTATGGCTGGAGTGGCACCCCTGCCGCCCAGCCTACTGAAGGCAGCGCACAAGCTGCAGCACTCAGCCACGGTGCCCATACACCAGATACAGATACATCCGGGCAGCGCTACGGCACCGGCCAGCGGAGCTGCAACGCCCACCAGCGCCAGCACAGGTGGAGGATCCACCCCAGTGGCGGGCACACCCACCAACAGTGCTGGAGGTGTCGTAACCCAGCGCATTTCGGGAGGAGGAGCCCAAGGGAACCCAAGTGGCGGCAAAAATATGCATCTGAGATTCAGCACATCGCAGGCGTACGAGCGACATCATGGCGCCGGTGCTGGTGGCGGTGGTGGTGCTGCATCCGAGGACGACGATTCGGAGGGCTCAACCACGAGCGATCCCAAGGAGAAGCTGCTGCTGGCAGGCGAACGACCATCGCCGTCGTTTTTTCTCGAGCGATACAACAAGAAGCGTCGGGACCATCGGCTCTTTCGCAGTGCCAGCTTCAATTGTCGCAACTATTCGACGCGACACATGAGCAGCAGCAGCTCCACGGCGGCCGGAGCGGCCACAGCGACTGTGGCAACGGTGGCCGCCTGCTGTCAGTCACCATCATCGGCCCTGGCCACGGGCCTGACCAAGGACGAAAAGACTGACATGAATCTGACCAAGAAGCGTCAGATCCAGAATAAGCAAAATCGATCCATTAAGCGCCGCCACACCGTGGGCGGCCCGCACGACTACTCGGCCAATGGGGGCTGCAGCACACACGGACATGGCCATGGTCAAGCTCTAGGCCAAGGCGGTGGTCATGGTGGCCACGATCTGGCCGCCATTAACTACAACCATCACAACCGGCATCATCAGCAGCAGCTGCTCAAGGGATCGGTTGTGGTTGTCGGCGTTGGCGGGAATGTAGCTGCGGCTGCGGAGACCACAACCACAACGACAACCACCACCACGGTGCTGCGTCGCCTGGGTTCGGGCACGGCATTGGGATCGGTTTCGAGTGCGGGTGCGGGTACAGGTACGGGCGGTGTTACCAGCGATCTGAATGTGCAATTGCCCGGCGGCACTGTTTCGAGTTCTAGCTCCAGTAACAGCGGCAGCGGTGGCTCCTCAAACAGCAGCACCAACAACAACAATTCGCCACAAAGCGATGGCAGCAATGGTAATGCAGGAGTAGCAGGAGTAGGTGCTGGTGCTGGTGCTGGTGGTGCTTCGAATGCCCCACCATCTTCCGGTAGCAGCAGCAATAGCAGCACACCCACCAATGTGGTGGCTGGCTCTGCTGCAGGCGGAGGTGATCAAGTCCTGGAGGTGGGCATACGCATTAAGAATATCAATCGCGGACGCTACTAGAGCGGCGAATATGTGAGGAGATGATTTGGAGCTTACAGCAGCAGCAAACAACAGTTAAATTAGTATTACATAATGGTTTATATACATATATGTAGAGAGAAGTATACATATATGTATGTTGTATGTATATGTGTCTATGTCTATGTCTATGCAGGGATCGATGGGGAGTTGTGTCCGTGAGTGGAGGTTTCGAAGCATATTGGGGGGTACGACATACGCACACAGATAACACAGATAACGAGAATACAAAGAGGAAAGCCGATACTACAAATAAATGTGTGCAAAGGAGTCCTTGCCATTTAGATCTTAGATCTTTTTGGACACTCTATATGGGAGGATGAGAGCGAGGCAGTAGCCAGAGAGAGAGAGAGAGAGCGACACAACTCCCAAAACGAATGCAAACAAAACAAAAACAAAAACAAAAACCACAAAAGAAATCCTAGATAACAAATGTTTCAGGAGAATCGACTATATTTATTCGCACACTCAAACACACAAAAAACAAAAGAAAAAAAAAACAAAATATAAATATACTACATACAAATGTATATGGAAACTAAGGAAAGAGGAGCGAAGCGGAACGGACGGAAGAAACGACGAACGAGTGGATATACAGAGATAGCGGTACAAAGAGAGAGAGACAGCGAAATAGAGAGAGATGGAGAGAGCGAGTGGTTGGAGGCGTGAGAGATAACTATTTTGTAAACCGTATACACAGTACAGTTAAAAAACAAAAAAAAACAAAAAGAAAAGAAAACCATGCGCATAAATAACCTTATAGTATATACACTATATATTTGTAATATTGTCATACATAACGAATGCAACAAATTGTTAACCATATACACCCAAACACACACACACACACACACGCAAACAACAAACATGCATTAAATATATGGTGTGTATGTGCATATGCTTATGTTTATAGGTAAAAAAAAACACACACACCGAATATTATATTCCATTGTCGCCTGTCTGTCTGTCTGCCAGAGTGTGTGCCTGTGCCTGTGCCTCCATCCTAGATTCCCCACCCACCTCTCGTTACCCAAAGATGGGCTTATCCTCAAGTCTCCTGTTTATATGAATGTTGTTTGTTCGTTTTTTTTTTAAGTTTTCTTTTTCGTCTGCATGTGTGTATGTATATGTGTGTGTGTACCTGCCATAAGAAGAAGAAGAAAATGGATAGAGAAATCAAAGGATTCAGTGCATAATAACCATTTTTGGTGCCTTAAATTAGTTGTTTTAACATTTTCGTCAAAATCGTGATTTGTTTATGTATAGAAATTTGTTTGGATTAGAGAAAATTAAATTTGTTTATTTTTGTTTGTTTGTTTGAGCCACGGATGGTGCTGCCAGAAGCATAAGAAGAATAAGATTTATTTTAGATATATAAATATACATATAATTTAATGTACATTTATGTATATTCCAACCTCAGGCAGAGCATCCTCCAACCCGCCCCAGACAGGCGACACTTGAGCAACAATATTACAATATTTGGTTCAAAATGATGCATACTTGAGATAAAGCGACTATATTTGATAAAAAAAAACAAAAACAAAGTATAGAGAAACTGCATAAATTTATATATATATTTTATGAAATACTTTTTGTGTGGTTTGTAGAATCATATTCTTTTTTTTTTTGTTTTTTTTTTCGACAATGAAAGAAAGAAATTGAAAGTATAATATAATTAATAAATTAGCTCATAGTTGTGTGTAGCATTACATACATAAATATATACACACACAAACACACACACACACACGAACATTGTATAGTATATATCCACCCATTATTTTATTTTATTTTTATTTTTTAATTCTGCTGTATATACAATTTATTTTCATTTTAAATTTATGATTTCATTTCTCCTTTTTCCCCCATAACAAGCATACATTTATTAATATTATATAAATATGTTTTGTACGCATTTTGTTTTGTTACCCGACACGGAAAGAACATGTAGAAAGCGGTAAGGGATTCTAGCGAACCAGAAGATAATGAGAGAACGTGGAAAGAGGAGAGTAGGAAACGAATGATAGAAATGAAACCCCCAAGCGCGTAACGTTGCTATATAAATATTATTATTAAACAAAAGCCAATTTTTTGTTAGAGTTTAGGTAGTTATTTTTTTAAAATTGTATTTTCTATTATATATTATATACCTATGTGTACATATATGTATGTATGTACATCTACTATATACTGTATGTGTATATTGTATTTTTATTATGATTTTTTTTCAAACAAACAAATAATTGTGGATTTCTAGAATGCTATAAATGACGACACAATAAAGAGAAACAACAAATATTAAGAATAAATGTACAAGAATAAATCAGAAACAAGACACTTTGTATCCTTTCGACTCTATTACTATCCTAAAACAATGAAAATGATCTTCTATGTATGTACAAAATGACAATCAGTCTGGGCAACACAGATGGTGATGATGGTATTGCTTAGAGCTTGGCCTGAGGACCCGTCCCCGAAATTTTGTAGACAAATTCGTGGGCCACATCGTAGTGGGGATTGCAGCTCTGGCGCACGCGCTTCAGCCATGCCCGAATCTTGGGATACTTGATCCTCACATCGTAATCAGCCATGCCTAAAATCACAGAGAGAGAGAGGGGTCAGAGAGTACACTCTCACATTGCAGATGAATCCAAAAGACTTACGCGTCTGCTCGATCTCACAGGCTGCAAATATATCTGCGACGCGGAGCGTGGATCCAGTGAGAAAATCACTGCTCTCCAGCCACACCTCCTCGACGACATCCAGATTGCGTTCCATATGCATGCGCATCATCTCGATCTTGGCCTCGGTGGGCGTGCGACCGGTGAGCAGCGGCTCCAGCCACACGGTGCGGAAGTACATGGCGCAGGTGAGGCGCAGTGACATGTGGTGCCACTCGAGGAACTCATCCACACGGCTCTGGTCTACAAAATACTTGGGATACAGATGCTCAGGTATCTTGCCCTTGGCACTGAGATACCGCAGTATGGCCACGCTCTCGGCCAGCTTGTTGCCGTTGTCGTTGATGCAGGGCACGCGCTGGAAGCGATTTATATCGCGCTTGAAGTCATCGGTCAAGTGCTCGCCTGTGGGTGCGGGACAAAGTGCAAAGATTAGATTGGCCCCGCATACGATTAGTGAGGGGAACAGCACTCACCGTTCCTCAGGGCGACCACACGGTCCTCAAAGGGCATACCGCTCAGTCGAAATATGATGAACAAGGCCCGCGAGGGCTGCGACATGAGGTCGTAGTAGTACTTGATCGGCGACATCTTCAGGTTCGTTGTCTGCCTGCTGGGAGCTGCACAAGAAAACAAATAAAACAGAGTTGCAACAACAGTCCAAAGATCACACAATTATTTTCTTCTCTCCGCATAGCCGACAGCGGCTAACCGGTAAATTGGTTGGGGAGGGCACCACAAGCACCAGCACTCACACTCACCAGAAGCACAGTTATTCGACTGTCGCAAAGCAAACGCAAAGCTCAGCCAACAAAGCTTAATCCACGACAATTGATCACAGAGTTGAGAGAGAGCTTGAGAGCATGAGAGCGCGAGAGAGTATGTGCGTGCCGTGCATGCGTATGCCAGCCAGTACGTTGGCTATCGACAAACATTTGCGATAGCTGAAAAGCTCCCTTGAAGTCAAAGCTTTGCCAAATGTAGCTGGCGTGATATTTTGCTGTGTCGCAGAGGAACGGAATGGGGAATGGTCTTCAAGGGGTTGGAAAAAATGCCATGCACAGTGGAGCTAACCCGTTTATTCTTTGAAATTATATGTTCAATGATTTTTACAGGTTCAAAGACAAATTAAAAGCCTGAATGTATTACTAAATATATATTTTCGGAGTGGAAAATGTTGCATTGCTCTGAACTAAGGAAAATATATCTTTAGCACAATCTCAAGTGCGACACATTCACTGCTCATCAATCACAATAAGCCACGAAATGATTAGCGGAATGGAATATGGGATCACACCATATATTTTTGTATCTATTGCTTATGCGTATTGCTCATGGATGGACTCACTTTTTGCTCTATTGCTTTCCTGAAAGGCCGTTTGCAGCTGCTGCTGATCCTCCGATCCCTGGCTGAGGCCCAACAATGTTGCCAAGCGCGACATTCTGTTTGTTGTGATCACGACTCGACTCTTCGGCGGAATGGCTTGACTGCAGCTGCAGGGGTGCCACTTATATACCTATGCACATACGAGGATGGATGCTTGTCGATCTGATGCGACGATACCGAACATACAGAATGCGAATGCGAAGGCGAATGCGAATGGGGAGGCAAGTAAACAAAAATGAAGTAAAACAGCGCAAGGCGAAATTAGGCACTCAAAGAGCGTGTGATAAGACGGTTTCCCCCTGGTGCCTAATCATTTGATTCGATTTGCCACACACTGCCACAGTGCTCGTCACTTGTTGTTGACCAAGATTATCGATCAAGCTGCGGGGCTCATTGGCAACCCACGAGAGTGGACAGGAATAGCCACAATATAGAGGAAGGTTTCTCCGCTTGCCGCTTATCGCTTGATAGTGAGAAATATGTTTACCTCTGGTTTGCCATTGGCTTTAGGGATGATCAGCTGATGGAACCGGATTTATCGTACGTTCCCCGCATGGCAATAAATATTCAAAAAAAAAAAGTTAAAATAAAATAAATAATCTAAATCCGCTGATATATCCGTTACCCGAAGTTGTTCCATTTTAATTGCTTTAATCGTAGATTTGTTGCTTTTTGTTTTTATCGTATCGTATGTGGTATTTATTGATTTTTCATTTTTGATTTTTGATTTTAAACATGTTCTTTGTGTGTGTTTGTTCATCGTCCTTCCCGTCATTTGCTTTTGTACTCGTTACACACAGTAGCACAGCTTTTGTATATGTTTTGAGGGTAAATATGTATGTACTTTGTGTGTACTTGTAGCTAAGATAAAAATCAGATATAAAGCAGATGATTTATTCCCGACTCTGGTACACTGAGATAAAGCTACATTTACAAAGAGAGCGTAGTCTGAGTTTTCTTTTGGCTTGTTCCGTTGGGCTTAGGGGGGTATACAGATACAATTATTAATCCACAACATTTATACTCGGTGTAGAGACAGAGAGATCACACAGGGAGGAAGGTTTGAATTCATATTTACATTTATAATCCATACATCTCTATATCTGTGTGTGTATGTATATTTGTATATAAAAAATAAATTACAACTAACATAAAATAAGCGAATTCAAAGTTTTCGCATAGAAGTTGGCGCAGCTTATGGACGATTCCATAATATTCCATATTATAGACACTCAAGATAACATTTCTTTTGTGGAATAATAGCAGGTAATTGTTTGAGTTCTCTCGACTTATTGTTGTTTTTTGATTGTTCACATTCACTTGGTTATCTTTCGCTGCTACAGAGTAAGAGCTTGACTTGACAGTTTCTATACATTTTACATGTAGAATATACTTGAAATATTCATTTTTAGTTGTTGTTTGCTTGCAAGATTTCTATTCTTTCTTGTTACACTGTCCAACACTGCTCTGAAATGCACTGTGCATAATATGTATTTGGTTACTTGATTTGCCTTTGATATTAGGGTGATAATTACATTGCACTAATTTGATTCTCACTATCGTGTATCGAATACTTTGTGTATATTTCTCTTGTATACATACCAAAAAAAAAAAAATACAATTATGTGCCACATGCAGCATATGGTATAGATATATATATATTTATATATAAGATTTATCAATAGGTTCCATTGATTTGTAGAGTCTTTTGCATTTGTCAGCCCCTGCTTTTGTTTTGTTTTTGGTTTTGGTTTCCGTTTTCTTGTTTGTTTGCTTGGGGGATATGCGTGTGAAATGTTTTAGGAAGAACATCTTACAGTTACAGTTACATTTACATTTAGAATCGCTTGTTGCATGTTGCATGTTGCATAAAGAAGACATCGAGTGAGTAAACAAAAGTATTTCCTATGCACACTATTTATTGTTGATTTTGCTTTTGCTGTTTCTTTTTCTCTATGCTTTTTGGCCAACGATTTCTGACTGACAATCTGGAATACTACGATCTAAAATTTAATTCACTATAAGTATGGGCTCTAATATTGATGTACCTACAATTATTTATTCATATTTTGTTGCTCTCTACTTGTTCTCGATGATCATTTGCAGCTGCAGCACCAGACTCCGAGCCAGCTGGAGCACTGCCTGAGCATTGTGACGTTCAGCCATTTCTGCAACATAAAATATGCAAGAAAATATGAATAAAATGTCAGTCCAAAAGTAGGCAGCCACACACACCATTGAAGAACTTGATGACATCGGTAAAGTCCATGCTGTTGGACAGTATAATGTCGCGATACGTCTCGAGCAGTGCCAGCGCCAGAAAGAGCACAAAATGACCAGAAGCTATATGCTTGGCCGCCCAGATGACCTCCCAGGTGGCAAAGACATCGTCGTAGACGAGCTCCCGCTTAAAGTCCAAGAGGAACCAGCGATAGCAGAAGTAAAAGTGTGTGTAGTCCCCGTTCGAGTCCATCAGGTCATACATCTCCGAGTCGAGGATTTGTATGAGGGAACTGCCATGGATTGGAGGAGGATTAAATAAGAGTTTATGGATCCATTTTTATAGAGGAATACACACCGCATGTTGGCAAAGTGCATATCCATGGCACCGCCGCTGGGAAAATTCTCGATCATGCGCTCCATGAGCTTGCAGAAGCAGCTGTAGCTGAGCGATTCGTCATCGAAGATGACCAGCAGGGGGGCCACCAGGTCGCACATGCCCTGCATGTAGCCCACATCCAGATGCTCCCACACATACGTGGATATCACGTTGCGCAACTTGTCCAGATTCTCGTTGGCAAAGTACCAATAATTGCGATCGCAGCGCTGCACATCCTTCTCGATTCGATGCAGATTGAGGCCAAATTGTTCGAGCAGCTCGCTCTGTGGATTGGCAAGGATCAAGCATTAAGGATCATCAAGGGACATGTTCTTGGATGCCACTTACACTGTAAACCCCACCGTTGGAGCTGGCTGGTGAGGCGCATGCTGACTTTGGCTGCTGGAGGGCATCCAGGACCGGCGTTTGCTCCTGCACGGGTGACATTTGCTGACTGTTGCCCGATTTGGGACTTCGCTCCCAGTTGGCAATATCCACCGAGGCATTGGTAATGATAACAGCTGCCTGCTGCTGCTGCTGCTGCTGCTGCTGTGGGGGTTTGACCTCCTCCTCGTCGTTGTCCTCGGGCAGCTGCAGATCTTCGGCGCTGAGGTACTCCGGACTGAGGACGCTGCGGCTGCGACTGTCACTGGTGGCCTGATGGCCGGCACCGCCGACACCCACCGTCTCGTAGGAGGAGGCTGTCGAGGCGGAGCAGCTGGCCATGGTTGGTGGTGGCTCCGCATTGATCTTCTCCTGCTGCTCCTGCTCCTGCTCCTCGTCCAGCTCGTTGAAGTTCTCGCCCTCGTCCACATGGCCCGAGTCGGTGCTGGTCTTCATGGCCCTCGGAATGGGCTTCACGCACAAATGCATGCCACTAACGGGCACTTCCTCCTGCTGTTGCTGCTGTTGCTTCTGTTTTTGCTGCTGCACTTGGCCCTGTTGCTGCTGCTGCTGCTGTCGCTGCTCATCATCAAACTCGAGATCACCCGGATCGGATATGTCCGAGATGTCCTCAAACACTTCGTTCTCCAGCTCCCCGCCCGCATCGAGGTCAGCGGCACGGACCGTTCGTTCGTTGCCGCTGTTGCTGCCACTGGAACTGAGCTTGGCCACCGCTCGGGCGGTCTTCTCCTTCTCCCGCTGCTGCACAATGGCATCGACGGCCAGCCACTCGCTCATCGTTGTCTCGTAGTAATGCTTGCACGTCTCGTCCTGCCTCTTGCGCTCCTCCAAGCTGGACCCAAAGGCATAGTGGCCCAGCAGATAGGGCCACACCTCCTGCCGCAGCTCGGGCTGCACGCCGCCAAAGTACACCAAACGATAAAACTCTGTGGCATTCTCCAGCACACCGTCCACATTGAGCAACTGCCAGCGCTCCCTTGTCAGTCCCTCCTCATCGGCTTTCACTAACGAAAAAAGAAGAACAAAAAAACGGCAAGCATTAGGCCACCCAATGGCAGTTGATGCTGCTTGCAACTCACTCTCTGGCGTGATTCGGCCATGCACCAGGCCCGAGAGATGCGTTCGCACTGTGGATAGATGCCGACAGTAGGCCAGCCAGCCGTAGAAGGCCCGCGAGATGATCTGGCGACGCATGGTGGAGCACACCATCTCGATGCTGGTGTTCTGTGCGTGCTGATGCTGCAGCAGCAGCGGCGACTCCAGCGGATACTGATCGATGGAGAGACTCTTGTTCGAGCAGTCACTGCTGCCGGTGGTGGAGCAGCTGCTGAGCTGTGCGCGACGCGGTGTGCTCCGCACAAAGTCCAATATCGAGTGTGTGGCAGCTGCAAAGGGAAGGATTTGAGTTCAAGCTGTGACCCGCGACCGGAGCGACTCCAGTTCGTCCATTGCTCACCAAACTCCTCGTGCCTGCTCTTGCTGACAATACGAAAGACATAATCGATGGGCGTCTCATCGACAGACTCCATAACGGAGGGCAGAATGCGCCGTCGCATGCTCTTCGGCCAGAGGAACATTTTGCCAATGCCGCGCTGTGACCAGAGCGGCGGATCCAGCTGTCCGTGCGGCAGCAGGCCCGTCTCCAGGCAGCTGAGAAACTGCTGCATGTGTCCACCCTCCGGGAAGTGTATGGGCGGACGTTGTACCCCATCCTGGCCCACCAGTATGACGGTGCCGCCGCTATCCTCGCCCCTGCTCTGATGGCAATGCACGTAGACAATTTCGTCGACATTTATGTTGAGGGCATACGCCCAGAAGGCCTCCTTGTCAATGTCCTCGCCCTCGCCCTCATCCGCCTCATTGTAGCCGTTCATCAGCTGATTGGGTGTCCACTTGATGGTCAGCGTTTGGATGTGCTGATGCAGACTCAGGTAGCCGGCCATCGGCTCAGCCACATCCTTGGGCAGGACATGCACATTGTTCTTGCCATAGAGCAGCGTTGCCTTCGCATTCTGGTGCAGCGACTCCACGTAGTCCTTGGCCACGCTGGCCGATGCCATGGACTTGAACGAACCGGTGCTGGCCTCATCGGAGCTGGTGTTGAGGCTGCGCTTGAAGTTAATGATCGCCGGCCGCGAGCAGGTCGACGAGGAGCGACGACCCGAGCTGATTCGATGTCGTTGCACCTGTGGAATGAAGAGCAGAGAGCAGAGAATGAAGGATCCACTGTGGCAGGCAGGCAGGCAGGCAGGCAGGTTGCTCCACTCACCAGCTCATCCGCATGCGGATCTGTCCAATAATGATCGGCTGTCTTGGCACGCGTAAAGTCGAGGGCGCAGGGCCCCACCAGCAGGGAGCTGAGTATCGAGCCATAGTCGGAGTCGGCCACCAGGGAGTCGCGATCGTAGAAGCTGCTGGCATTGCTCACCAAATACTCAATGATCTTGGTCAGCCGCTTCTCGTAGAGGGCCAAACGGATCCACAAATACTTCATGCTGGCCAGCGCAATGCTCGAGCTGCTGGCACTGGCCAGCGAGACGGAGACGGAAACGGAGACGGAGCCGGAGGCGGCAGAGGATGTGGATGCCAGGGCGAGGGCATTGCTGCTGCTGCTCGCTGACTGCATTGAGTTGCTGCTGCTCTTCTTCAGCATGGGCGGACGCTGGAAGCTGTCGCTGCTGGAGGATGAACGCTTGTTCGGATCCATGGCCTCAATCTCCTGCACCAGCTTGCTGATGTGCTCCGCCTCGGGGCAGCTCTTGGCGATCTTGTGCAGCAGCGCCGTCGTCGAGGAGGTCTTGAACAGGCCCAGGGCGCGGCGACGCAGCCCTTGGCTGAGGCAAGCCTCCACCGCACCACACAGCGACGTCACTGAGCTGCTCTCCTCGTGGACGTACTTCTTGGTCACCGCCTCCTCCATCAGTTGCTTCACCTCCTTCTTGACGCTGGCTATCAAACGCTCCTTGTACTCGCAGCCATCTGGAATAATAGAGTCATCTTCATCATCATCATCATTATCGACCCCATCTGCGGCAAAGCTCATAAAAAAAAGAGAGTAAACCCCGCGGGGCCTTAAAATGAAATCACAGCGACAACGCCCCAAATGTCAAGAGACGAACGGAGTCCTGCCTGCCGCCTGCCTGCCTGTGTTTTTTGCCTCCTGCTGCCACATCCTTCCTGCACTCTGAAATTCAATATGTTCAACATGTGCGCTGACACAGCCCGCCCCCCAATCACACAGAACACAGAGGCAGGTCCTCTACACCCAGCCGCCTGTTGACCACTTTGGACACGCCCACAAGCACAAATGCTAATGGCATTTGCACTCAAAACTCATAATGTCCCACGGCTCTGGCTCTACATGGCTCTATATAATTTCATTTTCATTACTTGTTTTCCATTTAGCGGCCACACACAGGCATGACAAATGACAAAAATATCCAGAGAGAGAGATACAAACATAATGAATGTTGCAATATGGTGGAGAGAGGTGCAACTTCGCATGAATTACGAGTGCAAATTGCAATAAATGTTCAATGCAAAAGTCCAAGCATGAAGAATGATCCTTGTTTACGCCAAATTTGCGCAAAGGGCTTATGGCCGGGAGCAATTACTATTTGGATATAAGTAAAATGAATTTGTAGCATTAAGAAATTGAATTGTAGCATTAAGACATACTTACAGAAGATTGTTGCTATAGAACATACATGTAATATGTGAATATCGATAGACAAAGAGGAAGAACATGGATGTAATAGGTGAATATCGAAATTGAAAGAAGGAGAGTATTAAAATTGATTGAATTCCGACTTGGTCGAACCAGCAGCACTTGGCTTTTTACTTCGAGATTTTTATTCCGAACTGGTTGCGAGGAGTTGCGGAAACAATCCTGATGGTGCACAAGTACGAGACTAAAGACATCTATTTATCTGTACAGTTTATCCATAAGCATATTCCATGTGATAATAACTTGTGAAGCTGATCCTAAACTGATTCCACACATACTTTCCATGGCACATTTTTGTGCCTCTTTCTCGTTTTCTCCATTAGCAACTCAAGTGCAGAGTGAGCGAGATAATTGAAGCGAAAGTTTTGGATTGAACACAGCAAAAGTGAAGATCTTTCTGCTTCGTTCAGTTCTAAGCATGCGAGAGGGCGAGAGGGCGAGTGATTTGGCATAGAATCTAAGCATGCTGAGCGAGTGTCTGTGTCTTGGCATAAAAGCTAAGCATGCTGAGCGAGTGTTTTGGGCGAGTGGCGAGTGGGCGAGTGTTTTGTCATAGAATCTAAGCATGATGCAAGCGAAACCCAAACATAGATTAGATCTGGAATCGATCATCTACCCATTGACTGTTCCGTTTTTAGGGTTTCCTCCTCGAACCCCACACCGCACACAAATGCACTTCCACGCAGCAGTAAAGTCACCAGCTGCGTGTCGAGCTCATTATGTGTGTGCTTTGCACGTTCTAATGATGATGTGGCAGCAGTGCGCCATGCGAGAGAGAGAGAGAGAGAAAGGGAAGCGGCATTGGGGCTGGCGGCGACACTGTGCTGATGTCTGGGACGCCGACCGAGTTGTCGCCAGGCCATGGCCATGGCTGGATGGCTGGAGCTCGGGGCTTCCCCGCTTTAATTACTGCTCTTTTGTTGCACCATTTTCCATGTAGCTGTGTGCTTAGTTTTTATGTGTCACATATGCAATTAGCATTTAAATGGTCAGCGGGGAGGAGGCATCAAAGTTTTAATAACTTAATTTTGCACTGGCACGGTGCCACGGTGCCACGGAGCCACGGGGCATGTGGCATGGGGCATAGGAATGGTGTCGGGCAGCTGGCAAATGCAAATACCAGACAGACACGGCGGAGAGTTGCCCAGCTGAGAGCTGAAAGTTTTGTTCGTTCTCTCTTGCTGTTTGTCTTTTGTTGGTTTGTATAATTATTTGCTTTTCTGTTTGCCCCATGCCCCCCACCACTTCATTGTTGACGCTGCACAAATGAAAGGAAATACAATGGATAATTGTTACTACACCCAGCCCATGCCCCTTGCTGCCACCGCATCCTGCTCCTCATCCTCCTCCTCCTCCTGCACTGAGAGTGGATCTGGTGACAAAGTGAACTTTGATACTCATTGGGGAATGGCCAGCATTGACAGGAGCTGCTGCAGGAGCTGAAATTGGAGTGGAGCACGCAGCTGGAACAAGGGTACACAAAGAGCCACCTGAGCCGCCAGAGCAGAAGGTTAGCACTAGGAACAGAGCCTTGAAGAAGTCCATAGACCACGAACTGGGACATGGACTACAACCAGCAGCAGCAGCAGCTGGAGGGAACTTCGAACTGGGAACTGCATGGCGCCACTGGTAATCACAACAAAGACCAGAACGTGCACCCAATGAGTTACTTCTCACGTTCTGGCTGACCTAGATATGGTCTTGCACCCAAACATCCCACCCAGCCCGACTATTCCAACAGAAGCTGAAGGAAATTCATGTAGATTGGCAAGAGCTTAACATTTAAACGCCACATCCTCAAGGACTAGCGTGTGTCGTGGACTGGAGACTCCCAATCTGAAGACTCTTTCGGGGTAAAACAATGACTGGATTCCACTCGCACTGGGACACCAAAGCAAGGCCTGTTTTGGGTGGAATTTTGTAGAGTTGGAAACCACTAAACCAAGTCTCTCAGTGTCTGGATCTCCAGAGTTCGAATCAAACATCTTCCGACCTTCCACAATCCTTAGGTCGGTTACCTAAAATCAATAAAAAGTTCAATTATTTTGATTAAATTTTGTCGCGGCAGGTGTAATGGCTTAATGACTTTTCGCTGCAGGGATCCAGCCCCAAGCGTAAATTCATTTGATGGCCCCCACAAAATGTCAATTGATGGCTCAAGCGGAACGGGCAGAGCCAGTCCCTAATTAAGGCAGCGGTTTGGGCTGCTGGTTTCGGGTGCCATCATTTTAAATTAAACTCCAGAGCGAATCGCGTTTTCTATTTTCAGCCAGCGACATTTTCCCTTCTTTTTTTATCGCTCTTTTGTTGTTGTTCGTTGGTCCGCATTCGACCCTTGGATGGCCGCAAAAAAAGGATGAAAAAAAGGAAATGTGTGTGGGCTTGGATGCGCTTTATAAATACTTTGGAACTATTTTTAAGATGTTTTTAAAGAGCTAAATATATGATGGCACACTCGAAACAATTGCAGTGGCAACAGCCCCACGTCTTACTGCAGTTCTTTCACTTGAATTAACGCCTGGGACACCCCTGAAATTAGGCTGCTTCATGGCACAACGGAGCAGAGTTTAGGCACACATATTCATGCCTGAATATCGAAATGTATGTAAATATGTACGTACTTATGTACTTATGTATGCAGCGCATTGCCTGGCAAAGCTTATCAATCTGACAACATTTTGTACGTTTAGTGTACGAGTGCGAGTAGAATTAAGATAAACACTTAATTAGACAATGGAATATGGGGTGGTGAGGTATGGGCAAAGCAGCTGGGAGGGAGAGTGGCGGAGAGGAGGTGTAGGGCAGGAGACCCTCATGTGTGGTGTGTGTGTGTGTGTGTGTTGTTCCCGCAATATCCTAACGGATCTACTTGTGGCTTTGTTTTTGTTTTCGTTTTTGTTTTCATTTTCATTTTGTGTCCAAATGAGCTTTTGGGACGGGGGGCTATCTCGTATTCGTGCAGGGCAAGACCCGCATAAACAGATAACAAAATAATACCCAAATATGCGTACATAAGAATGTATGTGGGGAGCTGCGAGTGCGACATTAATTACGGTCTAATGTACTCGTATTCGTATTCGTATTCGAATTCGTGTTTGTGTTTCTCTGTTCCCTCTGTCTGTGTGCGAGGGCTTGTCTGCTGCTTGTTTCAACACGCAAACTGCATTACCATTGGATGTGTATCCCGCCATCCCGCCATCCAGCCAGACCGAAAAGTTCAACTCAATTTAGGATACAAGGGGATGATAGCATCTGGCAACAGCAGCCAGCAGAAGCAAACCCATGGGGAAACAATCCACACGGCCATGGGGTCACAGCACACCAAAACTTATTTATTTCCTCTACTCATTACACTCGGGAGTAAAGTTGACAATAAGTTTGTTTCATTTCTACTTATTCATTCGGCGACAGCACTCATTTGTTATTGGCTTAAATATAGCAGAGGATTCATGCAGCCAGAGTGCAGCTGGGTGCAGATCTAACTAAATGTTGCTTCTTTTGGCAATCAAAAGATTTCAGCAATCTGCGAATTTGGCCATGAGTGTCCATCGGTAAGTAATGAATTATGAAGTAAAACTTAGCCTGTAAATTCCAACCAGCATTTCTGACCGCATATCAAACTGCCATCCAGACACAAGGTCCTACTTTTCGCAGGAGAACATAATTGCTGCCACACGACACAAAGTGTTGCCTACATTTGAGGGCAACATTTCGAATAGGATTCATTGACTTACATTGCAGGCAACAACCGAATGCATAACACTCGCCAAAGGTCATAGATGGAGTGGTTGTGATTCCAGTCCACTTGAGTAATCCTTTTTTCTGCTAAATCAACCCACGCAGCCAGCAAAGACATGCAGCAGCCGTGGCAGCCGTGGCATGCACCCTCTGACATTTCACTCGCATGGAAATGTTTGCCTGGCATAATTAGGATTTCAGTTCACCGTTCGAAGTGTACAGCGACATGGACATGGACGTAGGAGGATTGAGAGTCAGCAAAATGCAAATGTCAACTGGAGAAATGGGCACATTGCGAAGGACTGCAATTGTAAAATGGTAATTTCTGCTTAACCCGAGCTGAGATTACTGCAGCGTTAACATCCCCACCCGTTGATCATTTCCTCTTCATCGCCGTGGCAAAGGTCAACCAGAGAATTTAGTCTTAATTGCATTCTGTTGAGGCATCAAACATGCAGTAACCAGCAGCACAAGTGCCAGAAGCCAGAGCATGAAAAGCGCAAGAAAACCTGAGAGAAAGAAAAGAGAACAACTTTTTGCCACTGCGTTATGTGAACACAAAGATTGAAGCGCAAGGAAGCTGCAACAAACTGCCAGATGGGCAAATGAATAACTAATGAAAGATTGCTCCACTTAAGTGTCGCTGTTGGGAATGGAATAATTATTAATGGAATAACGTAGCAAGTTCCAGATGCGATTAGTTGTCCACCAAGTCACAGGAGTAAACTTCAGTTGCATAATTAAAGCTCCTCTCTTGTCCCAACAGGAAACACTCCATCCCACCTTAGAGCATCGTCGTTTAATGGCCCATCCAACTTTGTTCATTAAATCATTTATCACTTGCAGCATATTGGGGGCCAAAGGGCAAGGGATACTTTTTCAAGACATTTGATTGACATGGAAGAATTTTCGCTTTGATATTTGCTCGCTTAAAACTTGAGAAATTTGTGGCCCCATTTGGAAATTGGCAAAACTTTGGCAGAGGCATTTCCCAGAAGGGACTACTCAAAAAATAAACCAACGATGAGAGGACAATCGAGTGGGTCAGGCTTGAGACTGAGACTGAGACTGAGACTGGCTGGCTGTCAGTCGTTGAGTCTGGGCTGGGGCTGGACGTGAAATTAATGATGACCAGACAGTGGATTTTTAATTTTGAAGTGGAGGCAGCACTGCCACTGACTTTGGGCCTTAATATTAATGGCTCGAATAGAACGCAGGACACACGTACACGAACACAAACACGCACGGCAGGATAACGGCTCTCTGTTGCCCTGACAGTAAGCCGACCAAACCCTGACCCCTGATTACCACGAAACGTGCCACAAGGCAACAGTAGAAAAAGATAAATCCCAGCACAGGTCCAACCAGAGGGCAGTGGAATGCGTTTGCAACATCAGATTTTAGGCTTGGATACCTGTATAATCCGTAGACCCACGGGGCAGAGACATTACCAGAAAATCCATTGCCCCAAAGGCAGAGACAGAGAATGCAATCGACTCTGCCACGACTCTTCCTGGCTGACTCCCTCGTTGCCATGTGCCATGGAATCTCTGCTGAAAGCCTTTTTATCTCCCATTTGAGGATACTTTTTGTTTCCATTATTGGCGACTAGCAAACCCCCCTTGGCGGGAGGCGCATGAGACTTTATGACAACGCACTTAACGCACACGTGGCAACCTACATGTCCATGAGCAGGCAGACGGCAGGCGGCCACCTCTATGACCTCTGTGACTTCTCTCTCTCTCTCCTCTTTCTGTTTGTCAGCGAGTTTTTGCCAGTCAATCTCGTACTTAGCTCACAGCTAATGCCATAATTGAGCGATTGATGGTGGCCAGACCATCAGCGCCACATCATCGTCAACATTGACCCCCGCCACCGTCCTCGCCCTCACCATCACTCTCTCCCGAGCCGCGTCGGAGTCCCAGAGTCACAGTCGACGGCGGATATGCATCACCCACATCCGAGTGGGGAGACGAGAAGTGAAAGGAGTGCCAGCAGTGTGCTGGAATTGAATGTCCGCCCAGCCTGTGCAGGCAAATAAAACGTAAACAGACGCCCACGCGACCAGCGCCAAGCGCCGAGCGCCACGCTCCTTCGACTCTCTATGGCATTGACTATGGCTCGGCTCTCTACTCTCTGTGCTTCCACATTCACTGCCACATTGATGTGGCCAATTGCCTTTCATTCATAAAAGTTTTACGTTCATCCGCCAATGGAAGCCATAAAGCAAACCCAACCCCTCCCTCCATCAATGCATGCAAACCATCCGTCAGTGTCAGTGTACCCTTGCCCCATGTCCCATGCCCCATGCCCAATACATTCATTTGTACCTCTTGGTCACGAGTCCGAGACACTGCAATCAATGCACTGAGAGAAATATATTCAATTGCGGGATGTAGAAGTAAAAATAGAGACCAAAATTCAACTAGATGGCTCGACGCCACCGCCACTGGACATTCTCGGAGAAATGCAAATGGAAATGGAAAACAAGGAAAACCAACTTGAGTATGAGGATCGAGGGGGAACGCCGTTTACTCCGTCTCCGACTGCATCGAGGGACTCGATGGCTGCCTGTCGGAGAACATTTCACCTGGAGAAACGCAACTAAAGTTAATACAAAGATCAACTGTTTGATTCAGAATATTACAAGCTAGATGGGAGCATTCAGGTTCTGTTAATAATTTCTACAAATTCTAAAGTGCTTAAGCCTGAAGTGCCATCTATACTTAATAGTGCTATTACATTAATAAATTAAGCCACAAAGTTCAATGTTGAACTCCTAGTAATCGTCACACTTTAATGGCAATTCTGGCAACGCAGTTCCTCCATGATGACAACTCGTGTTTATCTCAGCTTTCATTCTTGACTGCAGATTTAAGTTATCGTTTTCTAAGTACCAGTGGCTTCCACATTCCTTCAGTGTATAACAATTGAACGGCAACATTGTGAGCGGCAGATCCGCTCGAAAGTGAAGCCCATATATCCAGGGGATCTAAGAAGACGTACATACCACATACAGGTATGTGAAGAAGGACTTAAGCAGCAGCAGGTATAGATGGACGAACGGGCGGGGCTTAATCTTTCGCAGACAATCAATCAGGAGAGTGGCGCTGCTGATGTCTTTACATGGGATTAAATAGGGACAAGAGTACCCTGCCAGGCCCTGGGCCAACCTGTTGCCGTGAGCCATGCACTTTTTGTGCGGCCTTGATTGCGGCTAAGCTGAAAGGCACATAAATGGCAGATAGCACCGCAGAGCCGCTGCCACAGAGATAGAGTGACAGCATGAATGCACGAAGCGGCATCTGGAGGAGCCAAGGGGATAGAACACACAGTCATGGCCGCAGGCACCTGCCCACAGTCATTTTCATTTAATTATGCTAAAAGCTCATCCGCAATGACCTTGCTGATGGATGGTGGATTGCTGAGAAATGCAATGACAGATGGCCCGATGGGCCTGATAACCTGTTGCCAGGAAAACAGTAGCCGCTGGCCACGATTGCTGCTGAGTGTGCCCCAGAAGAGGCGGCCAATGATACTGGCACGTGGAGCAGTGCATAAGAAAATTTCGTTCTACAGTCTTCAGTCGCGGGCCGCACTTGCAGGACATCTGCTGGACCATGTTAAAATTAGTTTGCTCAGAAAAGTAACAAAATAGAAAAAAAGTTTCAACGTTTAGAGATATAATTGAAATCCTGCTGAGAAACTTCTTTAAGTTTCTGCCGCAACGCACCCAGCTTAGTCGAGGACTTTGCTCAAATGCATAGCCACCCCAAGGGACTTGTAAGCAAAAAAAAAAATAGATGTATGTATACTGTTGTCGCATTAAGTGAAGCACCGTTCGCTGATTGCCCGGGATTACCGGAACCCATGCACAGGCTTGGCTGAGATGCACTCCACTCACACTGCCGCATGACACTCATATCTACATATGTATATATGTATGTACATATGTACATACGTATGAATACATATTTGTATGTAAAAAATATTTGCACGAAGCTTTCACAGTCCTCACACCGCTTCAATTGCCCGCAGCGGGAGTGTGAAATCTCGAAAATGTGAAAAGCGATGCCAGAATGCATCCATTATCTGCACACGCGCCCGCAACCGACCGGCCCCGCCTATTGTCATAGTCAGTGGTTTGTGGGCTTTTGCGGTCTTACGGCTTCTAAGCGCAGTTTCTCCCAGTGTACATTTATGTATTTACCTGCATTGGTTTGCACCATTTTCGAGTGCTTCTTCCTGTGGAATTTCGGCGAGTGTGTGGGCGTGTGTTTTTTGGCGCTTACAGCGGCCTACCTAGTCGTGCGGGCAGATTGCCCAAAGCTTTTTGCTCCGCGCTCTCTCTCTCTCTCTCTCTCTCTCCCTCTCTCGCTGTCTATTTTCCTGCGCCTCTCCTGCTTGGCTGCGTCTCACGCCTCACACAAGCACACGCGCGCGCGTAAAATGTATTTCGAAAAAGTGGCTGTTTGTTTTTGCGCGTGTAACGGAATATAAGCAGAAGCAGAGGAAGAAGCAGAAGCAGCAGCACAGCAGCAACAGCTACCGAAACAGCAGCCAGGAATGTGGATGGGATGTGCGATGAACGGTAAAACGGTACAACGGTAAAACGGTGAAAGTGTCGCCTGTAGCCTATGCGTCTCTTCACTCCACTTTAGGCTCCTAGCCCTGGTCTTGTTCCTCGTCTCTTCTTTCCTTTGCGCTTCCTCGCTTTCTTTGCTTGGATGCTCTCTTCTTTTGGTGCGCTCTTTTGCCTTTTTGTTCGTGCTTCGACTTCTTATTAACTAGTTGCTGCTGCTGCCTGGGCCCTTTATAAATATTTTGGCATCCTGCCGCCTGCTGCCGGAGTGGGAGAGGAGCAACGAGCGCGCGCTCCCATCATTATAATAAATCCCTCAAATGTTCGACCGAATAACTACGAATAAACCGATATTCTGAAAATGGAAGTAAACTCGTATAACCGATAGACCGAAATGACTGAATAACTGACTTAATCACTGACCGAGTGACGACGAACGACTCGACTCGACACTCTACGAACGACTGACTAATTCCCTAGTTATTATCTTTAGTAAGCGTACGGGCCATGGAGTGGAGCTACTGCTTTCCTAGCTACTGCACGCGACAAACTCCCAAGTTAAACTGAAAACTGAAACTGAAAGCAAACCGAACCGCCAGCCAGACACAAATTCTGACGTTGACGCTGACGCTGGCGCTGGCGCTGGCGCTGACAGTGACGCTGGACGACAGCAAAAACAAACGAGGCACGAAGCTCTTGGCTACACTGCAGTGCTCTGCTGCTGTGCTCCCTTTTGCTGCTTTTTGTCCCACTGTGCACCATACACCGCCATAAAATGTTACGTTTCCGGAAGCTTTTCGCGTTGCGCCCTTTGGGCCATTGTTATCTCGCTCTCACTTGCCTAGTACATATGTACATATGTATGCTGCTGCTGTACATATGCGTGAGTGTGTTTGTATTTCCAGCTGAATATGTCTGCGTGTGTGTGTGTGTGTGTGTGGAGCGTTTGTAAAACGTTAACAGTTTGCTGACGTCGCACGTTGTGTGGTGAAAATCTGCCTGCCACAAGCAACAGGACGACAACACGCCACATGCCCCAGCCTCACTCACTCACACACACACAGGCACACACACACACACACAGGCATTTGTATGTGTAAGTATGCCCCAAATTGTTTGGGTAAAAACATTTCGGTGTAATGGGCCCACTGTTGCTTCGCATTGAGTTTGCGCCATAACGCTTCGCCCTCTGCTTTGGCCACCCCCCTGTACCCAGTACCCAGTAACAAGTAACCAGTACCAGAACCCTGTACACCGTACCATACCCGTACCGATCCATTAGAGTGCTTAACATAACCTGCACACTTTCGTTTCGTGTGTACCGAAATGTACGAAATGTTTTTTAAGGTTTGGTCTGCGTGCGTATGCCATGGCAAGCCATGCCGTGCCCCAGTTTTGTGGCCATGTCTTCTCAGGTGCAAGCAAAGATGCCAGCAGATACATAGATGGAGAGCTGTGTTGGTTAGGTAATCTCCTGTTTGGAGTGTTGGTCCATACGAGGATTTAATATATGTATTTATCTCGTATATTATTTCAATTTACTTTCTGGTATAGCATAATTAGTGGCGCATTTAATCACATATTTCTGAAAGCTGGAATATGTCTGGGATTTTTTATGCTGACCCTTTGAATTAGGTTGTCTGATCAATGATGTTTCAAAAGCAAATGTTTGACGTAGGGATATTCTAATATTTGCATAAAAGGCCGTAGAACCTAACCGGAACATAGGGTAGAAGATTAAGCTACGCATGAACCATTTTAGTTATTCTATTTTTTACTCAATTTCCTTGGCCCTTATTCAAAGCATGAATTATGTACATATGTAGCTGCTGGGTCCTGCTGGAAAACATACTTTAAAATTTGCTCAGCCACACTGGAAGAGAGAAATGGTAATAGAATAGAGACTGAAAGACTTATTGTGAGACATTATTGATATGATTATGAGAGGCTTTTGCAGCGGATAAAGTGTACGCCCATTTACACAATATATTTTTACCATTGTAGCATTTATTGATTAACGGGCATACAATGCTTCTAGACCCGATGAATCTACGATAAATTCGACGTTGGTCTGAATAAATAAAAAATGTACAATTGTGATATATTTTAAATGAAAAATAATTAAATTTGGAGGCATTTGATGTACATATGTAAAGGACCCACACAGGAATAAAGATTGGGTTATAAATATACAAAATAAATAGATAAGTGTGAGCATAGTGGAATATTTCTTGAGATAGAACCTGCAATTCAAACACACATATGATTTTAAATGGTCACCACAGCAAATAAACAATTACCTGCATTTTTTTTTTTGTAAACATTTTACATAATTCGTTTTTTTTTTATTTTACTTCATTTTGGGTTTTTTATTTTTTTTGGTTTCCTGTTAAATTATACATTTATGTTCTTTTGATCCTTTTTTTGGTATCTTCTGTTTTGTGTGATGTTTGTTTGTGGGGAACATGGTATATTCGTAATATTCACGTGTAATGCTATATATGTATGTATGTAGTTACAATCATGGGTAACACAATATGCTCGGGGGCTCTATGGGTGTCATCGTCTCTACACAGACGTTGTATAAATATATAGTAGCTTAGCTTTGATTACGATTACGATTACGATTACGATTACGATACAATATTTTGTATAGCGAGAGAGTTGTTGCGCTTCGTGTTTTCGTGTTTATCTAATATTTTTATCAAAAGTGTGGCCAAAATGATGTTTGGACTCGGAGAGAGAGGCTCAGAGGTCGTTGCTCTTTCGCTTTCATGTGTAAAATATATCTCTTGTGTTTCACTCACACACACATGCACTCTCTCACTCTCTCTCTCGCTCTTGCTCTCGCTGTCTTCTACATTTGTCTCTCATTTTTATAGATATTACTTTTCTTCTTCTCTGTTTCGGTTTAGCGCTTACAAAAATATCAATATTCAAAGAAGCAACAAGAAATCACATTAAGTTTTTATTTATTTTTTTTTTCAGATGTTTAGTTTTTTGTTTTCTATACACAAAAAGCGTGCTACTCGCATTAACTTACATATGTATGTCCCATACAATGTATATAGAGTATGTTCGTGTGTGTGTGTATGTTTATTTGTATAAACCGATAAACCGTTAGCCCTTTAGTGGAGGGAGTTTTGGTGCGCCTGCACTTACCAAAAAACAAGAAGTTGTTTGAAAGAAAGCATTAACATTTGCCTGAGAGAGAACTGTCGTTTTTGGAAACCAACAAACAAAAACAATAAGTAACCAATACACATTTAACACATTAGCTCTATGTATACAATATATGTAGGGTATATGTATATAATATGTTTAATATATTGTATGCATGTATAATATATATTTCTTCGTATTTTATGTATAATATTTTTGGTTGTATATTAATTCATCTAAGACAATAACGCAATCAACTCAAACTCAACGTTTTGTTTTTTTTTTTTCGCTCAACAACATTTTCATAACATTTTGTGTGTGTGTGTGTGTTTGTGTGGGTCTACAAGGGCGACAGGATCTACCCGAAGCCAAAACTCGTAACAAAAAACTGAAACTGAAAAGGTGTCCCCATTTCTTTCTTTTTTTTTTTTAACCTAAAGTCAACAAAATTGGATCGTGGAAACGAACAATTGCACAACAATATCAGCAAGTTTACATATGTACTTTATATGTACATAAAAACATATTTTTTATATAGCGGTCTGCAGTTGAAAGAAAATAAATCATTGAAATGTTGGCACGAATGCGACTGAAACGGAAATTAAACTCATTGGGGGGACTCCACATTTTAGCAGCTCACTTCTGCAGACCTCTAAAATGTATTTTATGTCATAGTATATGTGTGTATATATGTAGTTAGTGTCAGTGTGTGTGTGTGTGTGTGTGTATATCTGATTAATTGCCAAATCGATATAAAATAACATTAACAACAATTGGCCCACAACTTGGGCCACAAATGACCCAAGCCGATAACCTCGCACAGCATTGCAAATATATAGTATATATATATATATATATGTTATGTATGTATGTATATAATTAATAGTATATAATATAGTGTATATGTATATCTCTCTACACCGATGGTATCTAATACAGCATACTGATGGCCGTCCGCACACGACGCTCATCGCCATACAAAAAGTATAAATTTTTGTTTGTGTAACTGCTTCTTCTATGTGTGAAATGGCTGTATTTGTATATATATATATAATCGCTATATTTGTTGTATATATTGTATATGGTAAATAGTTTCTTCTCATTTACGTTGTTCATTTTCATCGCATTTTTGTTGTTGTTCTACTTCACATCTCAGGTCACTACAATTTCCTTAATTTAGCTACATTTTCCAAGTAAACTTCTGCATCGCAACTTGGGCGACTCCCAGCCGTTCCTAAACACAACAAAAATCAGAAAACAAAAATAACATCTCATTAAGAGCTTCCAGCTAATTGCCATCCACTGCAAATGTATGTATGTATTTATGTATGCCATGTGCAGGTATGACCTAAGCGCAATTTCTATCCAACATTCTATGATCTACATATGGTGCTCTCTACTAGTACATCGCATGCTCAATACTGATCGGCAAATACATCGGTTATACATCTACGGGCTATGTTTATGTTTATGGTTTCTGTTTCTGCCTCCTTTCTGCTTCACTTGTTCTCGATGATGGTCTGCAGCTGCAGCACTAGACTGCGTGATAGCTGCAGTATCGATTGGGCATTATGTCGCTCGGCCATTTCTGCAAGAGAATATCAGCATCAGAAAGTGGCATAAAATAAGCAAAATCCATCATCCATACCATTGAAGAACTTGATGACATCGGTAAAGTCCATGCTGTTGGACAGTATAATGTCGCGATACGTCTCGAGCAGTGCCAGCGCCAGAAAGAGAACAAAGTTGCCAGAGGCCACGTGCTTGGCCGCCCAGATGACCTCCCAGGTGGCAAAGACATCGTCGTAGACGAGCTCCCGCTTAAAGTCCAAGAGGAACCAGCGATAGCAGAAGTAAAAGTGTGTGTAGTCCCCGTTCGAGTCCATCAGGTCATACATCTCCGAGTCGAGGATTTGTATGAGGGAACTGCCATGGATTGGAGGAGCAGAAGGAGGAGGATTATTTAAGAGTATATGGATCCATTTTTATAGAGGAATACCCACCGCATGTTGGCAAAGTGCATATCCATGGCACCGCCGCTGGGAAAATTCTCGATCATGCGCTCCATGAGCTTGCAGAAGCAGCTGTAGCTGAGCGATTCGTCATCGAAGATGACCAGCAGGGGGGCCACCAGGTCGCACATGCCCTGCATGTAGCCCACATCCAGATGCTCCCACACATACGTGGATATCACGTTGCGCAACTTGTCCAGATTCTCGTTGGCAAAGTACCAATAATTGCGATCGCAGCGCTGCACATCCTTCTCGATTCGATGCAGATTGAGGCCAAATTGTTCGAGCAGCTCAACGCTGTAGACGCCGCCATTGGAGCTGGCCGGGGAGACGCAGGCGGACTTGGGCTCCTGCAGGGCATCCAGGCTGGCCACAACCGTGATGTCCTCGTTCATGGGCGACATGAGGCTGGTCTTGCGTGAGGTGAAGTCTTCGGTGGTCTCGTCATCGTTGCACTGCACATCCAAAGCATCTAGGGAGGCGGCCTCTGTGATGATCACCGACGTAGAAGGATGCTCCTCCTCATGGTCTGCCTCCTCGCCAATATCCCGACGCACATCATCGGCGCTGTGGAATTTACTCAACAGACCGCAGGGCTCTGGATCGGGATCTGTCTCTGTCTCTGGTTCCTCTTTGACATCCACCATGTCTACGAACTCGTTGCCCACCGTCTCGTAGCTGCTCGTGGAGGGAGAGCTCTTGATGCTCAGCAGCAGGATATTGCCGCCAGCATCCAGACCGAGGCCCAATTCCCCCTCCGCCTCAGAGTCGGCAAAGCAGTTCTCCTGCAGATGCAGCGGCTCCATGCAGTCGAGATTCTGAAACTCCAGCATCAGCTGCTCGCTCAGCTGTGGCATCAGTTGTCCGTCCTCCTGCTCCTGCTGCTGCTCCTCATCCGTTTCAGCGTTTCCTTCCTCCTCCGGCTGCTCCTCAGCCTCTGCTGCCAGTTCAGGCTCATCGGACAGTTCCCCCGGATCGGATATATCGGAGAAATCATTATCATCAAACACATCGTTCTCACCCTCATCGCCGCACTGGTCTGCCTCATCGCCACTATGTCCATGGCCATGGCCATGCTCCAGCTCCAGCTCCAGCTCCCGACTGCCATTGGTCATTGGCTTGGCAGCATTTGGGGCTCCAGAACCAGCAGCAGCACCATTGGCATTGGCCGCCAGACGCGCCTGTTCCGCACTCAGTTTCGCCACGGCCAGCGCTGTCTTCTCCTTCTCCCGCTGTCGCACAATCGCCTCCACGGCCAGCCACTCGCTCATCGTTGTCTCGTAGTAATGCTTGCACGTCTCATCCTGCTTCGTGCGCTCCTCCGGCGTGGATCCGAAGGCATAGTGGCCCAACAGATAGGGCCACACCTCCTGCCGCAGCTCGGGCTGCACGCCGCCAAAGTACACCAAACGATAGAGCTCCAATTCGCCAGAGACAACGCCATCCACATGCATGTCCAGCCACTTTTGTTTCGTGAGTCCCTCCTCATCGGCAGCCACTGTGGGGAGCAGAGAAGTTGGTTGGATATTATAGAAATGGGAGCAGAATATACGCAAAAACCAGACAGCAAATGATGCTTAGGGAACAGCGAAAAAAATAAGGGAAGAAATGGTTAATAAACAGCTAAAAGTTGGATCCTAAATCTAGTGTTTTGTGGCTGCTGTTTCTGATTAATATTCCTTTTTGGCAGCACTTACAATCGGGCATAATGCGACCATAGACCAGTCCCGAGAGATGCGTTCGCACTGTGGATAGATGACGGCAGTAGGCCAGCCAGCCGTAGAAGGCGCGCGAGATGATCTGGCGACGCATGGTGGAGCACACGAGCTCAATGCTGGCCGTTTGACTCGCCTGAATCAATGGTGGATCGCTGCTGCTCTGATCGATGGAGAGACTCTTGCTGGAGCAGTCGCTGCTGCCGGTGGTGGAGCAGCTGCCCAAATGCTTGCGACGCGGACTGGAGCGTCCCAGCTCCAAAATGGGATGCGTAGCCACTGCAAAAAAAGAGTGAAAAATACGTGAGTAACGATGGAGTTGTCTGACAGGAACTCGATGCTTACAAAACTCCTCGTGTTGGCTCTTGCTGACCACGCGAAAGACATAGTCAATGGGTGTCTCATCGCTGGAGGAGAATGAGGCCTCCATAACGGATGGCAGTATGTGCCGTCGCACGCTCTTGGGCCAAGGGAAGAGCTTGCCAATGCCGCGCTGTGACCAGAGCGGCGGATCCAGCTGTCCGTGCGGCAGCAGGCCCGTCTCCAGGCAACTGAGAAACGCCTGCAAGTGTCCGCCCTCTGGAAAGTGAATTGGCGGACGCTGTACCCCATCCTGGCCCACCAGAATGATGGTGCCGCCGGTGTCGCCGCCACGATTCTGGTGACAGTGCACATAGACAATCTCATCCACATTGATATTGAGGGCATAGCTCCAGTAGAAGCTCTTGTCGCTGTTGTCGCCATCGTTGTAGCCGTTCATCAGTTGATTGGGCGTCCACTTGATGGTCAGCGACTGGATGCTCTGGTGGAGGCTCAGGTAGCCGGGCATCGGCTCGGACACGTCCTTGGGCAGGACGAGCACGTTGTTCTTGCCATAGAGGAGGGTGGTGCGAGAATTCTGATGCAGCGATTCCACATAATCCTTGGCCACGCTCGCCGGCGAGCAGGCCTTAAAGCTGCCGCTGCTCGTATCCTCCGAGCTGGTGTGCAGACTCCTCTTAAAATTAATTATCGGCCGATGGCAGGTGGGCGGTGTGCGATTACCCGAGCTGATGCGATGCCGCTGCACCTAAAAGCAAGCGGAGATCAGGTCAAGGATGGGTCTGGATAATCGATGGAGGGTCAAGACTTACCAACTCATCGGCACAGGGATCGGACCAGTAGTGATCGGCTGTCTTGGCCCGCGTAAACTCCAGGGCGCAGGGCCCCACCAGCAGGGAGCTGAGTATGGAACCATAATCGGCGTCGGCGACCAGCGCCTCGCGATCATAGTAGTTGCTGGCATTGCTCACCAAATGCTCAATGATCTTGGCCAGCCGCTTCTCGTACAGTGCCAGCCGTATCCACAGGTACTTGCCCAACGGCGAGCCAGCTCCTCCGCCCAGCACACCGCCACCTCCGGCGCCATTGCTGACCGTGTTGATGGTGGTCACGGAGCTGCTGCTGCAGCTGCTGCCCGACTGCTTGCTGATCAGCTTGGGCTTGATGATGCTGTCGCTGCTGGAGGACGAACGCTTGCCGCTCACCGCTGGACTCTCGTGCTGGAGCTCCAGCTCCAGCAGGCGACGACTCACGTAGTCCGCCTCCGGACAGATTTTGGCTATCTTCTGGATGAGGGCCGTCGTTGAGGAGGTCTTGAACAGGCCCAGGGCACGACGGCGCAGGCCATGACTCAGGCAGGCCTCCACTGCGCCGCAGAGGGAGGTCACCGAACTGCTCTCCTCGTGGACGTACTTCTTGGTCACCGCCTCCTCCATCAGTTGCTTCACCTCCTTCTTGACGCTGGCTATCAAACGCTCCTTGAGCTCAATCTCGGCTGTGGGTGGAGCAAATGGGAAATGGAAAATGGGAAATTAATTTTCAGTAATTCGTGGTCCAGAAACAGGTTCTCCATCGTCTGTTAAGATGATCCCAATCCCTGTTGCCCTCATAAATATGCTTTGATTGATTGCACATGCCCCGAGTCGTCTTTGGAGCCTGAAGGGAGGAAGGAGACCCACGTGGACTCTGCGCTTTCCTCTCCTCTCCTCATCGCTTCGTTTCGTTTCAGGAGCCAGACCCAGACCGACGTCAATCATTTTGTCATCGCTGTCAGTTTTGGTTCTGTTTGCTCCTGTGCACAAATCCGTCGTCGTTGTCCCTCTGCCACATGCCCCATACTTATATAAATATACTTATGTACATTACGAAAACGATACGCATTTAGGTACGAATGTATGTATGTATTTTCTGTGATAAACTGTATCGTACAGTGCGTTTCGTTGTCATAAGAACGCATGCATAACAGCAGCAGCAGGGAGTCACGAATGTCACGAATGTCACGTTTCCATGCGAGTGCTGCACTTACGCAGGGTACTAACCCACACACTCCCACTCATCCCCCCATATCATGTGTGATTGCAGGTAAACGATGCAATCATTGGGTGGGGAAATGCAGCCCCATTTAATACATTAATCCCCAAACGCATAGACATTAAAAAAAAACCCCTTTGGACACAAAAAGCTCAATAAAAAAAAGATTTTAAAAACAAATGATGGTAAATTACAACTAAAATAATTGAAATGAAAAAAAAATATAAGTCAAAGTTAACAAACAAATTTAATTAAAGATTGAAGAAAGTGTCTGAGGATTCATCAACGTACTAAATAATTTATAATAATTTATTTGATAAAAACTTTATGGAATTTTAAACCTTTTTTGTTTTTAAATAAACTTTTGATCATTTTAGCCATAATTCCTGATATATTTTGGCAAAGAAAGTGAACTCTCAAAACATCTTCAATCTATCTTCATTTTACTCTGTTAAGGGAATAAAATAATAATATTTACATAAATATGTTACCCGAATCCAATCCAAGCGGCCAGTGGCACGTGTTTTACGTCAGCGGGCAGACCGAGGAGCACTGCCGCATTCTGCGCGACACACATTTATCTCTATTTATGAGTTGTATCTACACATTTAATTGGGATCCAGCCTTCGTGTTCAATATCAGAATAACCCAACCGAGAGCCCGTGTGTTCATACAGCTATCGGACGCACTGTATGCCACTGTCTAGGGTTTATAACGTGTATTGGTGCATATACAAAAAATATGCTAATAGGATAGGCAGGCGGAGGCCAGAGAGAACCAGTTCCAAGGAGAGGCGCGCGCTTCTAATTAGAATGGAAATAAAGGATTTACGCAGCTACGTGACATGGCCCGGCAATGCCCGGCAGGATGCCCCCTCTCCCTACACACAGTCCCGAAAATCGATAAGGGAGCAAAACTTTTACATCTGTGGTGGGTGACGGAGGAGGAGGTGGAGCTGGCCAAATTGCAACAACGCTGAAAACAGAGAGAATCTCTGCCTCTTCAGTCTCTTCCCATAATCTCTCACTCTCTCTCTCTCTCTCTCTGTGTGTTTCTCTGTGAAAAGCGGCAACGTTGCGACAGCTTTAAAAGCCACCAAACACAAAAAATGTTACAAAGAGAATATTATGTTAAGTGCACGACAGACAGACAGACAGACAGTGAGAGCAGAAAGTAAATCGTCATTGGTCCTAAGTTGTTTATTCTCATTTCCTCATTTCTTTTGCAATTTGCAATTGCCACCAGCCGCCAGCCGCTACTCCCCCCCTCGGTCCGTAAGTGGGGAAAGCATTTCAATAAACAACAATCGAGAGTCGAGACCCACCCCAACACACCTCTGCCCCAATCCCCCATAGAACAGGGTAACCTTGACTCGCCGACAACGATGGCTGTGGCGATGCTAAAAAACTTCCTTGAATTATAACCTTACACTTTGTGGCACAGGACTCCCAGTCGACACTCCCGTTACGAGCAGCAAAGCTATGCCCAGCACAGGGAGGAAGAGCACACACACACACACACACACCCAGACAGCAAGAGAGAGCGAGCGACAGAGTGGAGTGGGGGAGCTGTCACCGTACAACACCTGCTAGAGAGAGTACGAGGCGAGGCAAAGGCCACACACTTGACCCTGAACAACATAAAACAGCTGATGACAGGGCTAAAACGAAACGAAACGAAACGCAACGAAACGAAACGACAGAACCGGCAAAGAAGAATGAGCAGGCGCGCAAATGAGGCGACGGGCGGCGGCAAAAGCGCGGCTGAAAGGCGATGCCCTGCCTGGCACAGGGATCTATGGCTGTAATCAGAAAGGGATGGCGCATGCATTTCTGCTGTTCTGTTCCTTTAATTTGCTGCCAGTTACAGGGAGAAAGCGCTCAACCACACAAACACACCGACATGTACATATTTATATGTACATCATTAAATACAAACCCTCCTCCTATTGAAGGAACCCACCCAACCATATTGTAAGTGGAAGCGGGGACCAAACATATGTTTGTTACCCACCCAACAAAGGAGGCACACACTTGCACGACACACACACACACACACACACACACACGTGTTGGCTCCTCGTGTGGCTCGTGTGTTATGTACACACACATGCCTCAGCCGGCGCCGCCTCGCCCCACTGCCTCAACCAAAGCTCAAGTTGCAAGGAAGAACAGCAACAGCAACAGCACCAGGCATCGGCATTCAGGCATTCACATTGTACATGTGGAAGAACCACAGCCGTATTCACTCCTCTACATACATACACGCTAATCAGATTAAGTATAAAATGCAACTAATTGGAGAATGCAAAACGTAATCGTCTTTAATATCAAGCACCACTTAAAATGGCATTAAATATTGTACATACATATTTACATATTTACATACATACATACATATGTCTGTATCTTTTGTTGCAATCCTTAGTTGAATATTTATTGGCTAGCTTCCCGTTTTAATTTAATTGTATTTAACAAATCGTAAACGTAAATCGTATCTTTCCTTCCTTTTTATTCCTAGTCCAACAAATCAGGCCAAAGCTTTTAATCTTTGCCATTTAAAAACATATTCTTGGTGTACATATTCTTATTGACTGTTACTATTTTTTACATAATTATGAAAGCTAATAAAATGTTATTGATTGGCTACAAAAATGGTATCTTAAAGACTTTTAAACGCAGGTGCTTGGAAATCCTAGGGCCACATTACTCAAACACAGACAGACATATATTATTTATAATGCGTTGAGAAAGGCTCTTCATACGGCCCCTGTGGCTGTTGCTGTTGCTTCCATCTAATTGAATTGAATAGTTTGCCCTTGTACGAGGTCTAGCCGTGACCATGATGCAGAGGGATACACGAACCCGGACATGGATGGACATCGAGTCGCTGGTAGGAGCAAGCGCTGGGGCTTCTCTGATGATTACTTAATTGGCAGGCAATTTGATGAATTTCAAATGAGAGGGCCGCCCCGTCAGAAAACCGAAGTCGGGACGCCGGGAAGCGGTGAAGCCAGATGTGTGAGGAGGTAGAAGGGTGCGTGCTGCATGGCGCATGGTGCGTGGCCATCGAGTATACGTAAGAGCTGCGTCTATAATGCAATTACCGGTCGCCGTTTGACATTAAAAACCGATAATTGGCCTCTTCCTGCGCGACTTTTCTCATTAAAAATACAAGCGGACGGAACGCTAACGAACAAAATAAAAGCCAATGCCAATGGCAAATGGCAAAACACATTGAAGATTAATGCGAAAATGACTCTGTTTTGGCCCTGAACTTTCGCATTTTTTATGGTCGTTATTTCATCATTTAATTAAGGGGAAATGGGGGGAAATTGCACCCAAAATCGATGGCAATTAGAGCAGATTTCAATTTCACATCAAAGCCCCAGGTACACAAGCGTTTAGACAGAGACTGAGCGATAGAGGGAGAAGGAGAAGGAGAGTGAATGCAACCTGCTGCGGGGAATACCTGTCAACCAACAAAACCAACGACAGTCGTCGGTCGACATTCTCGGATTTTATTTTGATTCATTTCTGCAATCCTCCGCCCACACACGCGCACATACAGTGATATACCGTCTGGTACATACATATGTACATAGAGATCTGTCTTTATTGTGTCTGCTCCTCTCCCTTACACATTCTCGCACAATGTACAATAAATAAATACATAGTTATGTACATTTGTATATCTATTGGAATGTATCTTATGTACTCACACTCCCAGGAACATCCGACCCTCCTCAACAGTTCAGTGAAGCAATTTCAAACAAAAAATCCCCCCAGTTGTGCTGGCCTAAACTTTCAACATAAAGTGGGGCTTCAGTTGGGCAACAGAAACTAAAAGATGTACAAAGTACATATATCACTCCGTGACCGTACCATAGTTATGTCCATATGTACATAGTATGTTCATATGCATGTACAATCTCACGGTTGAGAGACCGAATTGAAGAAAACAGAAATTTGTGGAATATTAATCCTTTTATCACTGGTAAGCTACCAATTGGTAAGCTTACATTTTGGTTTATAATATAAATAAATACATACATATGTATGTACATATCTACATGTCTGCACTTTCTCTTATCTGTTGTCACACACTTAGGATCTATGTACAAATGTACACACCAAGAGACTACTACTAAAATTCTTCCTAAATCAAACAAAATTCCCGACGTAATTTAATGAAAACTATTCGATTGCATTCCAGGCAGTGTCTCCACACAAATTGTGAAAGCGCTTTATAGAATTTGTGTAAGTGATAGAAACTGAAATTACTAGGAATTAATTCGGCATGGAAGTAATGTCAAGAATGTGACTTATTTTTACTCGAAGTAAAGGATGGAGTATGGAAAGTAAGATTTACCTAAACAAGTCTTGGAATATTTTAATGCAAAGAACGGCATAAATAATCAAACAAATGAACATTTTGTATGATTATATGAGACTTTTTATATAAATTAATTAGACTGGTTGCGCAAGAGAAATTCCCACATAAATTGAAGCATTATTTTCAACCACAATGGTTCTAAAAATCAAATTTCTACATTTTTATGTTCATATGTACATACATACATAAACATGTATACATAATTTCTATAAAATATTCATACATACATAAATACATAAGGTCAAAGCTGATCAATTTCTGGCCAAATTTAATTAACCTTTAATATAATCGAATTTTAATGCTCAACATATAATTAAATTATATTCCTTAATAATTTCCAGGCAATTCCCATTAGTCAGTGTCCACTGTGGCACTGTGCAATACTTTGGGTTTGCGTTTTGTCTATTTTCTTTCTTTGTAGCGGAACGACGCCAAATCATTTCACTTTCGCACCTTCTTCTTCAACAGCAGCGTCGCGACGCTTACTACGCAGCAGCGACAATCAACCGAAGGGACGGACATCAGAAACAACAACAAAAGCACATCACACACACACATACACACACATATACATATGAGTGTATGTACATACCGTGGATACTCTGTGTGTGTGTTATGTACATACACACATATGCACATACACATGTATTTATATGTAATTGGATTTTTTTTGCTTCTGCTGTAATATGCTGAGAGTCCTATGGTGGCGGAGAGGGACCAGGAGGAGAGGACTAAGCTTAGGGTTTTTAGGGGGCTGGCAGAGAAGGTAAAAGTTTCTCTCTCACACTCACCGCTGGTGGCATCGCCTGTGGCGTTGGCAGCGCTGCCGCTAAAACTCTGTAGCATGTTCATTTTGTTGCTGATCCTGTGCTTCGATGGTTGGGAATACTTTGTTTGGGGCACGAACGCACGCACGCGGGTGCTTTGTTGCTGTTGGTGGATGATGATGAAGCGCCTTTCTTTTGCTTTTCTCCTTTTCGCTCCCAGCTGCTGCTACTGCTGCTTCCCGTTACTTCTCCTTTTCCTGCTCTCTTTGTTACTTTTTCTGTTGTTGTTGCTCTTCTCGCTGTGCTCTTGCTGCTGTTGCGTTGCCTTGCCTATTGCGCCTCTCTCTTTTCTGGGTGCTCTTGTCGCGTCCTTCTTCTGTGGCTTATTTCTCTGGCCAATTATTTTCGGTTTCTGTTTTGTTGTTTATGCTTGCGACTCTCTTGCTCTTGCTCCACGCTTAGCAGTATGTGTGTATGTATGTCTGTCGCTCTCTGTCTTTTGTTTTTTGTTATTGCTGCCAGCTGCTTATGAATTTTGCATTCTCCTTTGCAATTATTTTTGCAAGAAGTTGGTATAAAAAAATATGTCCTATATTTTCGTTGTATTTGGCGCTGCTGCCTCCTCTGCCTTTTTGTGATTGTTGCATTCCAATATGTTTTACTACGACGCTACACACACACACATACATAGACACACACTCACGCTCACTTATTAAAAAAAAACAACAGCTTCTTCTGTTGCATGTGTGTGTGTGGATCTTGTCTGTTGTTGCTCCTGCTGCTCCACTGCTTCTTCAGCTTCTCCTGCTGGGGTCTTTGTAGTACAAATTCCACACATATGTACAGTGGTCTCTCCATATACGTACATAAATATGAATGTTCCCTTGCAGATTGTGTTTTAAATTCACATTTTTGTGTTCTCTTCTACAGTGGAAGTGGTGTGGATTTTATGCTTGTGCCTTTCTTTTGCATACTTTCTTGAGCACTCGCTGCTGGCTCACTCGTTCTCCTGTGCAGTGTGCGTTCTCCTCTGTGTGTGTGCGGCTGTGTGAACGCGGAATTATCGATAAAATAACCCAGCACAGCCCTTAAAAATATGCCATTATATACGTTCTGATTTTAAAAATATACCGAATACACCGTAACCTTAAATAATATTCTTCGATTTTGATGTTCAATTTGATATTACTATCTTACAAAGATCTTTAACACTGAAACAATAATTTAATCCGATTGAAGAATCGATTTGGCTTATTATAAATACTCCTTTTCATTGGATTGTATACCATATGACCATTTATTTTGCAAAATATTTACCACACATTTTTGACATGTCAACAATCGCTGCAACGCTGATAACACTAACTAGCTGGTAATCAAAGTCGATGTAAATAATTTAAGATTTACGGTAGATAAACAGTATATTTTGCGTATGAAATGTTATATTTCGGTATATCTCCGAGGGTCTGACGGTGAATTTGAAGGTTTGAATGTTCCTTTGAAAAAACGTAGCAACCAGGGCTCATTTTTATTTTACGGGTTTGAGAAGTCTTTTGAGAAGTATGGCAAAAAAAAAGTCAGCTAAGAATAAAAAAAAGAAGATTAGGGAGTATCAGTATGATACGTCCTTGATGGATACACCTCACAGCGAAATGGACAAGAATTCCGCTGCTGCTGCTGCTGCTCCACTTCCAACTCCGGTGGTAAAACAGAAGTTGAAAGTTAAATCTCGCAAGAGAAAGAAGGACGGTAAACGGAATAAAATTTCGAGTCAGATCCCAGATCTCATTCGAGATCCGAGGAAAAGAGTGGGAGAAGGGAGCATCTATTGGGGCGTTGAGATCCGAACGAAGCCAGAGCCAAAGCCAGCCGCCCCTTGTGGCGAGAGTGACAGGACCGCTCTTTGCGAGCAACAATTAAACATGGATGCCCGTTGTAACGTGGATGGAAGCATCCCTTCTTACGAAGCGCGGAACATACAAGAAAGTCAACCGATGTCAGAGCCACGATTAGGGCAAGAAACGCAGACGGGAGTAACAGAAGAATCCGGTGAAGACCTACCTTCGCAGAACAGGTTCAAAACCATTGAGGAACTGCTGCGTGTCCTCTCCGACGATACAGATGATCTGGAGGAGACAGGAGGAGGTGGAGCTCAAGATGGACCCGAGGCAGTCGGCAATGGAGCTCGGCAATGACCCAGCCGAAGAGGAGAAGTCCGGCACTACGCCCATTTCCATCAATGCCGGGGGCAATCAGGCCAGCAGCTTCTGGCAGGAACAGAATTACAAAAGAAGACGATCATTTACATGCAAAAGATCACCCGCAAAGTGCCAAGTCAGGCGCTGAGCGTCACAATATTCTCAAAGCTTAAATCGATTCGGGAAGACATTGAAAATGATTCCACCCGACAGACTGGAAGTGGTAGAATCTTTCGATTCTTTCCATCCGATTCATAGTTCAAATATTGTAACAATTCGTTCGTTTGGCAACCAAAAATATGTAAAACATAAATACACTTGATCTTAGCACTGAGTCTTCCTTTACAATGAACACAAATCAAATAATTAAATGCTGCCTTTGATGAGCTTTTTGAAAGGATCAATCTGGCTGCTCTGGTTGCCCTCAGCGGTGTCCGTGTTGACGCGTAGCAGCTCGTCTGTTGCTTCAGTATGGATGCCTTACGTGAAGACTGGTCTGGACAAGACTCAGATGCTAACCATTCCGACTGACGACGTTCTGGTGCGAAAAAGACACGTGGAACACACAGAATGTGTGCAATCTGCAAGAAATTAGCCATGAAAATGGTTAGGGAATACATTTTACGAGGCAATCTGTCTACCTATTAGACATCTGCCACATCTGAGTGCGTCCGCATGCGTCCATTGATGGCAATACGAAGGAGCAGGCTCGGCATGGCCGATTTCAAAGCGTTCCAGCAGGCTGATGATATCCTCCACTGTCAGATCTGTGAGCATCGCCTTCAATATGTCCTCCTATATACAATTTAAAACCTTTTAGAGTCTCATAACCATTCGATGATCACTCCCTACCACACTCACGCCACAAGAAATCGTTGGGCGAGGCAATCATGGTTCCTGGTTCGCTAGTAGGAGGGGAACAGGGCTGTCCCGGTGGCTGTGCCGAAGGCATGTGGAGCACATTTGATTGTTTACGTTTGGTCTCTCATCCTCAATCCTTTGCTGATCCTCAGGCAGCTGGAGTTACTTCACATTGGAGCCTGGAAACCGACGTGGATAACAGATTCTTTCTCTTGTAGCTTCTTATGGTTAGAAATGATCAACGGAAATGTCGCGCATCTGTGGTACCTTCCACAGATGTGATATTGAATAAATCGCCTAAAAATATCGAAATATAGATATGTGCTCGTCCCATATTAAATATCGAAAATATTGATCAAATAGATTTTTTGCGCATCTGCGTACTAGGCTTAATTATCATTTATTTATCATTTTATTTATTTATTTATTATTTCTTTTAGATATATCGATACGAGTGATATTTGAGTTATACAAACAACGTGGCTGCGATAAGCAGCTGAGCACGAAATAGCGATATAAGCTTGTTATTCAACACTGGCAACCAGCCCGAAATATCAGCGCCAATATATTTCAAAATTGTATCGTAAAAACGAGTGGGAACGCGGCAAAGGACGAGGCTTCACTTTTATACCTGGCACTCAGATGGAACATATTTGTATCTGCTTTTGTTTTGGTATCTTTTGCCATTTTATGGAAATTGCTTATTTAAAATAGTTGTTTTCTTATATTTGTATAAATTTGTAAGCATTTTACATTATTATGCATGTAAATAATCAGCAAATCAGAATAGCGTCTTGAAATGAATATCCAGTGAGTACCTAAAGACACCCAAAGGTCTAAGGACGGCAAGCCTAGTATGTATAAGTTAAGCACCTCCTCACCCTCTCTACAAGGAACTCGCGGAATGCATAGGACGGGAGGGCTACGTGTGTCTTCAGGTGGCCAAAACGACATCGCCGCAGGTGAGTTGCTCCTTGCTGTTCGCTGTGGAGCTCCTTGATATGTAGATGCCAAAACGCATCTTGCCGCTCTGCAGGCGCGAGATGGTGGTGAGTGTGTCTGGGGAGCGTTCGCCCGTGCGCTGGTTAATGCAGATCATATCGCAACGCTGGCAGGGACCCTCCACTTGGAATTGGACCTGGCCGATGGTCAGCTGCTTGTAGGACAACTCCTCAAAGGCGGTGCCCGTGTCGATGATGATGTTGGCCCGAAAACGATCAACGGTCTCGTCCAGCGACTCTTCGAACTGCAGGGAACGCACAGAGGATCGATTGACCAGCAGAAACTGCGCCTGATTGACCAGACTTAGCTGCTGTTGCTGCTCACCGCTGGGCGAGCTCCTCCGCGAGGATTGACGCAGCAAACGGAGACCATCCATGCCGAGATATCCGCTCAGCCATTCGGCCACCTCATCGCCGCAGTCCAGACCTTCGACCGGCTGGCGGCACACTTTGCTGCGGCAACGCGACGAGTTCTCGGCCTGATCTGCCAGCGAAAGCGGCAGCGTTACAGTCGTGGACAAGTCCCCATATTGCAGCACCAATTGGTCGTCCCGAATGTGGGGTTTGATCAGGCAGAGCTCCGTGCATCGTTTCTGGGTGATGGCCATGCCATTCATGTCCACAATCATCCACTCTCTGTCATACTGCAGTCCCTGTGCGGTCAGTGGCCAGTTGGCGCCGCCACCCTCGATCTTGAGGGCTGCACACGACTTGACCGGATAGATGGCCAGCTGCAGGAGCTGCGGTCGCCGTTGTGCCCACTCCTTCAGTGCCTTGGGCAGCTCATCCGCCTGCTCCTCGATCAGTTGCAGTCGCTGCTGTGGTCTGGTCGCCAGATAGCTGAGGCGCAGCATTTTGAGCAGCTTATCCACATCCTCCCGGCGAGTCATGTAGCCAAAGGAGACGCGCACGGCGCCAGTGGGCTGGCCATCGATCAGATCAAAGTAATCGCCGCAAATGCGACCGGCACGCTTGTAAATGCCATCCATCAGAGCATCATCCAGTCGAAGGTAGCGCTGACAGGCACCTATGTTGCAGAAGCAGCCGGTGCGCAGGAGTATGCCCTGCAGGGCCGCCACACAGGCAATCTCCCCAAAGCCAACAAAGGCGCCAGTATCCGTGCGAACATTGAAGGCCACAATGCCGCCCTGCCGGCTGCGCTCCTCATATCCCACTCGGTTGTAGAGTTCAATCAGATGCTGGCCATTGGGATGCTTAAGCTCACGCAGCTGCTGCTCCAAGTACTGTGCGAGGCCATGGACATGTCGCGAGATACGCTCCATGGTGGCCACACCACCACCACCACCATCCGTCGTGCTCCGCGGCACCAGGCGTTCCAGTGTGCGAAAACCCTCGAGCAGTCCCACAATCGAGAGGAAGGGCAGTGTGCCGTCCTCGTACCGCTGATGGAACACCTCACGCAGCTGATGGTCCATGGCATGGGGATAGGCATAGTTGATGGTGCCCCCGCCAAAGAAGCGACGCTTGCCAAAGGCCTCGGCGCCGCGGCGGCTCACCAGCAGTGCACCCACACCGGTGGGATAGCCAAAGATTTTGTAGAAACTAAAGCACACATAGTCGGGTTGGTAGCGTTGCAGATCCAAGGGATTGGTCGCCACAAAGGAGGCGGCATCCAGGCAAACATAAA